GGTAAACAAAACACAGTGTGGAAGTTTTAAATGCTGTAAAAAGTATTTGCATAGACTGATATTCAAAGCGTGTATTCCTGGAGTTGCATTTTGTCATGACGTCCAAAATCTGCCTGAGGTAATTGATGATGTGAAAAAAATTTGCCTGCCAGTCAGATAAACCAGCAGGAAACGCAAAGAAAGCTATAAAACCTCAGGGCATGTGTTGTTCTTAGCATTACTGTAGTATTTTACCCGATCAGAAGAGCAGAAAGTGTATTTTGAGAAATATTATGTAAGTGTATTTTCAGTAGTAGTGTGTTATATACACTATAACAAGTAACTGTAAGTGCTATTATTGTGAAATAGGAGAAACAACAGCTCAGCTGCAAAATGGTAGACCACATAAACTCACAGAGAGGGGGCGCCGAGTGCTGAAGCATGTAGCACGTACAAATCTGCTGTTGCATCACTCACTACAGACGTCCAAACTGGCTCTGGAAGCAACATCAGCACAAGAACTGTATGTTAGGACTTTAGTCTAAAATCACACTTCTTCTAAAAAAAACACCACAGTTAGTTGTACTATATGATGCATTTCATCCAGTGGTACTGAAAATGTTGTGTTAATTTACATTAGTGAAATTTCACCTCTGCATTTAACCCATCATACACATTAGGGGCAGTGAGCACACTTGCCCAGAGCGGTGGGAAGCCCTATACGCTGCACCCGGGGAGCAGTTGGTGCCTTGCTTATGGGCACTTCAGTCACGTACTCAGGGGATCAAGCCTGCTGGTCACAGGGCTGGTTCCCTAACCTCCAGCCCACGACTGCTCATTTATCGGTTGCTCCTGGGAGGAGTAACATCAATCATTGGTTTATCTCATGGATCTCTTCTCTGTCTGACTTGAGCGCCTCTGTAAAATATTTGCCATAATCTGATTTTGCTATTTATAATGCTTATCATTTTTATTTTCTGTTACTGTACTATCCAGTGCTGACCCCTCTTGAGTCTTGGGGTCTCAGGGTTTTTCTCGGTGGGACTCAGTTGGACCTACATTTTGGGAAGCTCCCTACGATAATATTGAAACTTCTATACAAATACTGTTAAATTTGAACTGAACTGGTCACAGGGTCACTGTGAATGTAGTCTCTTGAAATGAGAATACAAATCTGATACTAACCAGGTAAGACCTGCTCTAAACCCCGTTTAGCGTTGACTCTGAGCCTCTACTCTGAGCTCTGTCTTCACCAAGCGTTTGATTGGTTTGGAAATCTTCACACCATAATAAGTAGGGGTGTCACTAGAGATTCATGGATGGGGGTGGGGGGGGGTACTCCCTCAGCAAGATGTTTTTAATGGCCCAAAATATCTGTTCATTAATAGGCAGAAAATGTATCAAAAAATTGCTATTTGGTCAAGTTTCACACAGACGATCCGTCTCTCCATAGTGGACTAAGCACAAATTGTTTGCAATTTGAATACTATATCTGTCCACTTTCACAGATCACAGTTCAAACATAGATATTGAAGTCAAGCAATGCTATCTCCTCTCTCCTAGACAGCTGCAGGTGCTACCTATGTTATTCAAACACACAGATTACAGACCGGTACAGTCTCAGTTTGTGTAACCAGTGTGATTTTGTTCTCTGGTTGTTTTGTAGTCCAGGTAACGTGGTCACAGTGACATTTGACAGCACAAAAATGATATTTTCTCATTTTTTTCCATTCTCACTAATGAGGATATAGTAAAGGAATTTCCACAAATTCAGTATTAATTTTAACTCAAAGCCTAAACAACAATCATTCTCTTTCTTCTTGATCACTGACCTTTATCAGACCTGCTTCTTCAGCTCTGTCAGTCTCCTTCAGCTTCTTCACCTCCCTCGCCTTGCCTGCGTTTGGTATGTTATGTTATTTATATTAAACTCAGGATTTACAAGAACTCAAATATCAATGAGTTCATTTTTTACATTGAACTGGCAAAAATCTTCACACCTGACTGGCCTGCCACCTCTTAATTAGCCACGATTTACAGGTTGAGGAACTCAGGGATATAAAACTGTGTTACCATCAACACAACACCTGTATCATCTATATACAGTAAAAACAATATATAGCTAAAACTGGTGTGATTGTTTCGAAATACTTACTAGAAATATGAAAACAAATAATCTGTGAAGTTTCTTAAAAAATTCTTGGAATAGTTGGCTCTTCGGCTAGCGAACGTTCAGGTTTCATGGCCTATCCCCTTTAGCTCATGTGAACTTAAAGCTAGCAAGCTAACAAGCAACTGGCTAAAAACTCCAAATTGTAGGTAGATAACCTCACTCTGTGACTACTTACTGATTCAGACTGTATATTATACATTTTAAATAAGGCCTAATCTTGATTTTAGTGCGCTCTTGGCTAAAATCCTATCACAACTTCGACTAATGCTGAATGACATTACTATAGAACTTGTAGAGAGGAGAACTACCACTCCACAAAGTCTTCCATGTTTCTCAAACACTAGAGGGCGCTCCTTAAAATGAATGAGTTAAGATGGAGCGAATAAGCAAAATCATAGTTTATAAATGCTTAAACGTTTTTAATGTAAAAGAATAATTTAAGCATAAAACATTTTAACACCACTGTTATATTTTTAAGAGCTTTTAAACTCGAGTTATAGTAGTTTAAAATGGCACCTCATGTATGTCCAACCAATCAGCACTCAGTAGCAGTAATGCCAGCGTTCTGCTGCCCATAACCCGTTTGTTGTAGAAAAAAGGAAATATACAGGTGAGATTTCTTTGCTTTTGTAATAAAATTTGCCTAATTAGAAACTGCTTTAGCTTTTCGTTTTTAGCCATTGATGCCCTGTGATGGACTGCCGACCTGTTCAGGGCATATCCTGCCTTCTGCCCAATGACTGCTGGGATGGGCTCCACCTCTCCCGCAACCCGGAAAAATAAGCGGTTTCCGAAAATATGTGTGTGTATGTGTGAGCTTTTAGCCATTGAGCTCCATTCACTCCCATTTATTGAAGACTTACTTGTGGGCGCCCTCTGCTGTTTTGCAGTCCTGTTTTTGATATAACGGGGGAAATAGGAAGCAGTCAGGCTCCTCATAAACCGTCTCCAACATTTCTTTGCAGAGTGGGCAGCACCAGAGACCCACTCCCAGGTCTGATATGATTGGCTAACTTAAAAAGTCTAATATGACTGGCTTACAACATAACGAGGTCTAATATGACGGGATTACAATTTATGAGGTCTAATTTGATTGGCTCACAACTTAGAGAGTTAAATATGATTGACTTGCAGTTTATGAGGTCTAATATGGTTGGCTTAGTTGGTCTGATTTGATTGGTTGAGCTGGCGTTACACTTTTCCCCCGATTCTAAACCGCAGAGGACTGCCATCTCCTGTTATATTAGTAAGTCTCTGGTAGCGCTGCCAAGGCAGCGGTGGATTAAAGCAGCAGTGCATTAAAGCAGCAGCAGCGCCTCCCCTAGTTTGCTCCTGGCTATTACAGTATATTGCGAATTTGGAGAAACTGTGGCAGAGCTGAATAACGTAGAATAAATACAAAATACTGTGGAGGATTTGAACACACTCATTTGAAGGGGCAAAATAATATCTGGGGAGGCTAAAGCGCCCCTAAAACTGGCGTCGATGTTGCTGCTAGTAAGTCTACATACCCACCCACATTTGGCCCAAAATTTCTCGTGGCTGTCCCCATTATAAGTTAATGTGTAGCCCCACAAGGCTAGTGTGAATGTTGATGAACTCCCTGATCACTCAATCCTTACCACAGTGCTCATAACGTTCTCATGCCAAAAACAGGAATTACCGAGAGCAGTTTGAACATGCTTGTTATGACCACACGCATAACTGTTCTCCTGCCAGTGATGTAGAAATGTAGATGCAGTGTCCGGCCATGGAAATCGAAATGGGTTCTTTGCCTGTCCATAATAAAAATCTACCAATATAAGAATGTTTTTCATTGAGGAAATCAGTAGTTGGATTGAAAGAATGTCTGTTTGTAAGAATACATAACTGATATATGACTAGTTTCACACTGAACAGGAGTCTTGTTTGCATTTTGGTGGCTGTGACTGCTGCCCATCCTAGTAAGTAAGACATACACTATTGTTCATTGTTCATTGTTTCAAATCCTTTGTCATTAAATTGTATTACACACACACACACACACACACACACACACATACACACACACATACACACACACACACACACACACGCACATACACACACACACACACACACACACACACATACACACACACACACACACACACACACACACACACACATATGTATATCTGTTGTCAGAAGAAAACCTTGTATCTCCATTTTTGCCGTTTTTCAGTTTTTGTCATTATTTGAAAATGTAACAAACTATATTAATATGCTATACATTTATAAACACTATAAATATAACAAGATCAAGAGGTCTTTTTAACCTTTTACATTTTACATTTTAGCAAGTTATAGCAAGTTTAGCGAGCTTTGATCACTTTTTCGCACTTCTGGAAACACTGATGGCTGATGTTTGAACAGTGACTCCAAACACTTTTGAATGGTAGTGTAGATCTAGACCGGGGTGCCCAACTCAGCTCCTGCTGACCTACTCGCCCTCCAGAGTGCAGTTCCAACTCAAATCTAGCACACCTAATCCACCTAATCAAATAAGTCAGGAACATATGAAAATAAGAGGGAAGTTTAGGGTGGAAACTAAACTCTGTGCACGGCAGTCTCCAGCAGCAGAGTCGGGCAACCCGGATCTAGATAAACACACTGTAGCTTATTTCTTATGTAAGGTCACATTAGACCTCTGTAGTTCTAGTTAACTAAGGCAGTTCCTAACTTACTTCTAGTTCTAGTTGGTTTACTGCTGTCTTAAACACATTAAGCACTCATCCTATGCTCAGATCTGAACTTACTGGAGAAATGTTTAGGGACCAGACATCCTGAAAGAAAGAAGCCATAATAGGTGATAGACATTGTTTTTTATTCCTTTTTAACTGAACTTCTCTGAGGTCAGATAATCCTCAGAACTGATGTGGATGAGTACATTTTGAGGCAACTGTAAGATTCAGGGATTCAATTAAATCTTTTAACCTGATTTATTTTTTATAAATAGCTGCGTCTGTTTATTATGGAAGTAAATGCATAATTATAATATGATATAATATGAATACAGATCATCAACATTAATAAATGCAAGCCATTCAGTGTAACAATGTGGCATTTGTTCATTGCAAGTATTACATGAAATGCATGCAAATGTTGAAAACAAATGAGACAGAACTGATCCAAGCGCTTGTCTTCGGCCCTGAGGCCTTTTACATTTTGCCCCCAAGCAGATTAATTAAATAAAAGAGTTTAAAATCAGCAAAGTCATATGAATGACATCTAATACCCTTATCAGCACACGGTGTGGTGTTTTGGTCAGGCTGTAGAACACATTATGTATCAATGAACTTAAAAGTATCCGAGTTGCTTGAAGGTACAGATGAAGAGTACGCTGCTCCCGAGATGTTGTAAGCATCTGCAAATAGCAAGATGTTAGTAATGTATGAGTGACTTCAGTGCGGACATGGAGGGGGATATTGGGTATGCAGATACAAAAAAAATATGATATAAGACTATTAGATTTAAAATGAACATGGAAAAAGCACATAAGGTGCAAACGAAGCATTAATAAAACACTGCAGACTGTAAAAAGGTAAAAGTATTTGATTATCTTGACATAAAAAAAATTCAGTGGCCTCTAGATTGGTGAAACTTGCATCATATGCAGGTTATAATGTGAAACATGTTACAATATGTGGGAAAATCTTTGTACACTACTTTCTACAGTTACTTACATCTCCTGGGGAACCTGTGAGTGTAACCCTTTCCAATAGAGGATGATGGTCCTGCACTAGTGCTCTGAAATAAACAGATACTGTGTAAAACACTCCTTTTGGAAAGTTGTCCAACTTATAAGTACATAATAGCAGAGGTATGAGGAGAAAGTGTTTTTTTTCAATGCGGCTTAGAACAGACAATAAAGAGCATCCGCAGAACTGAAGTGAAGTGATGTTAATGAGTATTTACCCCAGTTAAGTTAGAGCTGATGTTCCTCAGCTTCAACTTTCCCATAAGAGCTGCACGGATCTGTAAGAAGAAAACATCGAATAATTTAATTTACACTGATACAAAAAACACAAGCATCTATTACACGTTAAACTGAGTTTATCTGGACAATATTACATCATGCAAAGACATAAGAGCCGGCATTTGAAATACGCTAAGTTAGTTAAAGTTACCCTTATTAGTCCCACAACGGGGAAATTTCACCTCTGCATTTTAACGCATCCGTGCAGTAAAAAACCACATACACACCAGTGAATATCTGCTTTTCAGTTTAGCACCCCTAGTGTTCCAAATTGACAACAAAAAATAGCTCCATGTGCCATGTGGTGAAAGTAGACCCCTCCTGACCAACACTGGAACTGCAGGAAGTGCCCGAGACTACAGTTGTATGCAAAAGTTTGCACATTCCTGGTCAAATTACACGTTTTGTTGATTTACTTTGTGATAAAAAGTTCACAGATCCTCTACAGAGAACACACTTCTGCATAGTTTAATGCACAATTGTTGTTTAGTGAATTTAACATTTTAGGAAACAAACATAAAATGTGGCCTGTTGAAATTTTATGGAACTTTTATTTTATATGTTGTCATTTTTTCCAATATGTTCAACACAAATAAATAGAAACTGTGCTCAAAAAAGTGTGTAAATTGCCATGATTAAGTGTGTTTCTTTGGAGATGTGTTAACTTATTTTTGCTTAGAAAATCAACAAAATGTGTCAACTGACCGAGCGTTACATCCTTGTCTGGTTGTCTCTTTTTCTCTTTGTGTCTGAGTTTTGTGTCTGTTTTCAGGCTGGCGTTGCTGCACGACTGACGTCCCGCTTTTCCCGGCATGTGATTGGCTGTTCCTGTTAGTGCCGGCTATGAAAGGCCTTTGGTATTAGTCAATATGGAGTGTTTTTTTATTCGGCCTTGTGCGATTTTGCTCTCCTGGCTGCCTGCCAGTCAGCAATTTACGTGTTTATTATTATTAGTTAGTAGTCAAAAATTTCTCTTTGTTCTGTTCTGGCATTTGAGTGGGCAGTCTTGCTTCCTTTGTGCGTCTTAGCCCTGGGAGACGTAACACCGAGGGTGATCAAACACAACAATTTGCTACAATTTGCAGGGATCACCAGTGAAATCTATGAACTGCATGAGCTGAAAGCCTCTTTTTGGGATTCATGCGGTCACTGTCTTTTGGGAACTTCACTGTAAATGCAGAAAACTTGCAGAATCTTGAAAATGTAGTTTACTGCTGGTTCATGTTCAACATGCTTTTAACACTATATGAAAGGCGGGGATAATAGCACTGTACTCAGGCTGAGCGTTTGTCAGCCCAGGGCCTTTATCTACGCACACCAGAATACATACCTTAGTGTCCAGCAGAGTTCCGAATACTAAAATAAAGAAGCCCTATAAAAAGATAAATGAGACAGTTAGTATAGGTCATTACACTGCACTTCAAACATATGACATGAATCAGCCAATTAAAACATGCTGTATTTTTTTCATTACAAATATATTTGAGCATGTTTTAGTGGCCATTAATGAAATAGTTTCATTGAAAAAAGAATAATTATTGTGATTTCTTAATTTCCTCAAGTGTGGTTGATCAGCCAAGATGGGTTTAAAGGGCACATAGGCTCCTTTAGTACTATACTAACTTCACTGCACAATCCTCATCCAAATAATCAAAAACTCATCCCCTACAAACGTGTAGCCTTATAGCTCCAGTACAATGTGGGTCAAAATCTGGTCTCTGGATTTCTGCACTGTGAGATCATCTCTTTAAGGTACCCCAACACAAATGGACAGTGGTTAGCAGTGCTGACATATTAAAGGTCAGTTCTACCAGGTGTGAACTCCTGCAGTGGTGACACTTGCTGTTGGAGGATGCCTCCAGTATGTGGTCACTATTAATTAGGAAGTGCAAGGCAAACTTTTTTAAGCTATTGTGCCATTTTTTTTAAAGTTCCAGTCTAAAATGCTTGATTTTTCAGCAGCTATTATGAATATTTGCAACAATATTTGCAATATTGGCAGAGGGAGCGCATTGTTTGTAATGAAACTGTGGAAATGTGTGATAATTGTGAGTCTGATTTATTTCTGCTTGTTTTGAATGTAGCTCAGTTGGTTCCTGATAAAAGCAAGAGAGAAACAAATAGAAAAGACTACCTCTGAGAAACATGAACATACACATATGCAGAAGTCAGATTTAAAAATCTTTAGCACTGTTTTAAATTCTCAAACAAAACAGTTTTCAATATTTTATAATGAAATGATGTGAAGAAAGCATTTGAAAGAAGTATGCAAATTAAATACCATATTTCTACAGTCAAATATGAGTAAAAGAAGGAAAATAAAGTGCTCTTAAACTTCCTTTGGTAGCACTGTGTGACTGAACTAGGCCTGGGTAATTTATCAAAATTGATTAGCATGATATTTTCATTTTGCTAAAAAATGATTTTTTTTTAATTATATCCCCCCCGAGCCCACCAAAATAATGCAGAAATACTGTGGTGATGGAACAAAATTGAGTGCCCCTGCAAAAACTGCAAGGGTTGGTTGAATTTGCATAGATTTGTGATAACCAACTCCTAAAGGGACTGTATTTAATATATACTAGTCTACTAGATCTGGCCTTCAGTATGGTAATAAAGCAAAGTTCTGTAAACATCTTGACTGAGTAGCAACACTGTAGGTAACTGGAAGTTACTGTTTCAAGCCTTAGGTAGGTTCCTACAACCTGCTGTGCAAAAGTCAGATCACTATAGAGTCATTTAATTTAATGTCAAAATAGCCATCAAATAGCCATGTGAAAGTTATTTCAAAGGAGATATAAGATATATACATTTATACATTTGTACAGGTCAAGTGAGAAAGTCAAAGGTAAATAAAAGTTTGAAATTCAAAACATTATTATAAGGGCTCCTAACAGCTGTGTGAAATATCCCTGCAGTTTTGTGGATTTTGAAAAACTGGGGGGAAAAAGTCCAAAAAGAACTGTAATAAAGCAAAGAGTGGACACACTAAAACTGACCAATTTTTTATTATATTTAGTTGTTGAGGTTTGAGTAATTTTCTGTTAAATATGTTTTTTGCTTTTTTCCGACACAGAAAAACTAAGTACTTGTGTTCAATGGTTATTTTGACTGGAAATTAAATAAATAAACGGTGGTCTCTGACTCACACAGTACTGTTTATCATCGCTGTTGGAAAACAAAACCTTACATCTCCACTATTTTTACATAATTTGAAACTGTCAGCTCTTTACATTGTGTGTACACCTCATTAAGGATGAATCAACAGAATTGGTCCAAAAATACTTGGAATAAAATCTGACAGTAACGTTTCCGTCTCCTGTAAATCTACCATTTTGGATATGAAGTTTTGTTCCAGAAGTGATGATATGCTGTTAAAAACATTAAACAAGTGCTCTTCAATTTACATTAACAAATACATAAACGCAATATTTGTTACCTGCAGTGAATTGAGGAGTGCAAACACAATGTGAATCCCTAAAGCAGATGACACCATGGTCCCAATGCCGAATCCCCAGGTCAGACCAAAAAGAGGTGTTAAAATGCCCACACATCTGGCAATGACCAGCAGGGTGTGCCTCTCTTCTGAGTGGTGAGCAGTGGCTCCAACTCCCCTCCTCAACATCGTATATAAAACCACAACAAGCACCAGGATGTTGATAAGCACAATGGTAAGGGCTGGGACCACAAACGCCAGGAGAGCCTTCGTTTTGTCCCAGTTTAGCCAACAGACATTCTTTTCCTGGACATATCCATTGTTTCCAGCTGTCACAGCCACAGTAATAACAGCTATGATTAGCGGGGCCCCATAGCCAACCGCTAAGCCGATGACCATCATCACTGACCTGGAGATTTTGGAAAAGACCACTAGGGTGCGGTAGAGGAGCAAGAGTGCCGAGAGCAACATCCAGAAGAAAAGAGCGAGATAAAATAAGTGAATAAAGAAAGTCAGTGCAGTGCAGGGGCCCACTGGGGTCGACTCTCCATCCTTCACAATACCTGCTTGAATGAGGAAACATATGTCCGCAATCAGCAGGGAAGCCGCAAGGTTGACTGTGGAGAAATGGCGCATGTAGGATGTGTCATTCCTTGTCATTGATTTCCATACAATGATTTCAATGATGAGGCACAAAACCAAGCAGCCCACTGAAATGCCAACACCGATGTAAGTGATATGCTTTAATCCAGCATCCGCAGAAAAGAACGGTGACATCAGGACTGAGAACGAGGTGGTGTGGGTGCACTGACACGTAACACTGTCAGATCCTACCACTGATTTCTTTACTTCACATCCAGTTGAGTCCCATCCTCCAATCCCATCCAAGAGACTGAAGTTCCAAAAGACACACTGAGGGTTTCTCAATGATGCATTGCTTACACCAAAGGAAAGGGAGATCAGGGGGTCAATGGTCTGGGCCAATTTGATCATAAATACATTGGCATTGATGCTGGCATCTGTTAGACTGCTGCCATTGTGGGTAGAGTTTCTAACAGGCAAGACATTATCAAGAGCAGAGAAAACTATGGTTGTGATGGCATTTGATCCATTAGTCTTTGGAATAACTATTTGTGTGGATAAATTTTGCCCAAATGTTCCTTGGAATGTGTCATTAAAAATAGTCCTGTTGAGCTGGATGCTTGATGTTGTTATTGAAAATTGCTCATCTGAGAGACTGTCTCCAATTTTTTCGATTGACTGCAGAAGCACAGAGCTGGCATTCCAGCTGTCACTGTCATTGTTCAAACTCTTCCAAGTTGACTGGGCTCCTCCTGATGAAATGACATCCACTGTTCTGAGAAAATCCTTGAAATAGAAATGTGCTAAATTAAACACTGAAACTGAATCGCATCAAAAAAAATGTAGCAAGATTTGATTATTTCGTTTATTTCATTTTTGAGAGCTGTACCATTAGAGTCAATGTTCAGGGCTCTCTTATCCCTTTAAACATGTCAGGGCTATTCATGCAAATATTTACTCACTTTTAAGAAACAGTGCTTTTATATCTTTATACAAATGTGCATACAAAGCAAGGCAGGGAGATTAGACTCAACAACAGTAAAACTCCACTTATCATCATATCACTTCCATTTCTGCATGTCGCTGTTGTCAGAAGAAAACCTTGTATCTCTTTTTGTCGTTTTTCAGTTTTTGACATAATTTGAAAATAACCTGTTACCCTTTACATTGTATGTAAGTTTCACGATGAATGGGCTAAAAGAAACGATCCAAAATGAAATTCTGGTTCCATCCACTTACATTAAAAGTAAAGCAGGTTTTTTCCTTTTTTTTTTTACCATTGTGGAGATATGAGGTTTTCTTCCGACAACAGCGATATGAATAGTCATTAGGAGTGGTGTGCAAAGCAGAGGAAAGACTTTTCTTAGTGAATATTTGATCAAAATTAATAGCTCTACCTTCATTCAGAACCAGAATTTGTATACTTCGTCCACCTCTCTTGATTAAAAAATGACTAGGTGTTGTTATGCATTGAAATTTCGGGCACCAAAACATCTCGACTGAAAATGTGTAAAAGTGGCACTTTACTGTTTTATGGCTACCAAAAGAGAAAAACTACAAAAGACTTAACAGGACTACAGAAAGTGTCACGATCTAACACTTTACAAATAATACGAAAGGTAATGAAAACAAGAAGCAGTGATTAAAACCGCGAACAGTGTAGATATGTTCAAACAGTTAGAGCAGCAGCAGATGAACAGTGGAAAAAAATGTATGTTGCACGTAACCATCTCAAAGTTTCTACAAAGGACATTAGACTAGAGATTCATCATCACAGAAGAACTACTTTACTACCGATTTGAGGCCACCTGACAACGTAACGCCATGCTCAATAAGCAGAATAGACCAAAGAACAAGAGCTGCATAAGGAAACGAGAGAACCCAACTGCAAATAATGGAATTTTTTGTCTTGGATGACCAACTGATCTCTGTCATCAAGGACATTTAGTTTCATGGCATGTACTGTAGCCAATATACAGTAATGTTTTTAGTAACTTTATATAAACTGTTTTTATTTGTTATCAGCCCAGATTTATCTTATTGACAAGAGGTTTGATCAATAATATGTTTTTTATTTATTTTGTATTGTAAATTGTAATTTTGTTTTATTGTAAATTTTAATTTGCTTAGCAAATTTATTCGAAAGTACAAATGAAATGGCAAATTAAAAAAAGGAATGGCTTTTTATAAATAAGAAATGTGAACGTGAAGAACCATTTTAATGTAAAGAACCTCCACGTAATGTAAATGTTCTAGGAAGAATCCCTAAACTGGTAAAGAACTATTATATTGTGGACCCTTTGTGTTTTACTACAGCATCTACAAATGCGAAGTTAGCTAGCAAACGCCCTGCTGAAACTCATTTGATTATCAACAGCATAATGTTAGGGTTAGGATCAGTATCAGAGCTAGGTCTCAGACTAGGTTTAGGTGTTGAGCTAAAGGTCAAGGTTAGAGTTCAAAACATCTTTAGGAGCAGGCTTTGGTAAAGTTATTATGAATTTAATAGATATTTAGTCTAAATTGTCCAAAGTCGACCATCATCATAAAGTTTTACCAATTACTGTATCTGACTACGTTCTACATTTGTTCTTCTGTGAGCGACAACTGACTGGACGCTAAACAGCACATGTACTGTTGTGTATACTGTGAATTTTATCATAAGGATCCTTGCTTTACATATCATTACTGTCCAAAGAAAAACAACTCCAAAATAATAACTTTACTAGGGAAGGCAAAAATGTTTTTAACTTTTAATGTAAGTTAATGTAAGTTGTTGTGTTCCAAATGATTTTAGAGAATTTCTTTTGCTCCATTCACCGTGAAATGTTGTACAGAACCGCAGCCGTGTCCAAATGATGTAGAAAAATAAAAAGACAAAAACAGAGATACATGTTTTTCCTTGGACGGTGGCAATATGCTACACATATTAAATTGTGAGGAAGGTGGGAAAAACAAGAAAATTCACATACATACCGTCATCACATCTTTGCTGACCGTCACTGACTGTGAAATGGTAGCGATTGTGCTGAGTAAATCAACAACTTTTACAAGAGTCACTGGAGCCCCTGTTATGTTCGCAGAATTCTTTTCTGCAGCTTCACTGAGATTCGCAGCAAACTGTGGGACTTGAGCCACTTCTAAATCCTAGTTAAAAAGAAAGGAAAAAAAGAAACACTAGCACTTCAACATTTTGAGCATCTAGTAACAGGTACAGTACTTTTGCCTTCAATCGGAATTCAAAATGAAACTGCATTACTTCGACTTTGTCGGTCAGGTCCTGGATGACACGCAGGGTGCAGTTGTTAAATATTTCCTCCCACTGTTTTGTCCTGTTGCACTTGGCCTGTTGAATGCCAACCTTGCCCCCATCACAGCTTTTGCTTCTGATTTCATTCTCATTTCCGACGCCATACATGCTGCTTTCTGAGCAGTAGAATTCTAAGGGGACAGAACATGAACTTGAGTTGATCAGTGCTTCCCAAACTTTTCCTGGTGCCCCTTTCAGACATTAAAGCTTCTGCTCTAGCACTATATTACATGGTAACACTTTACAATAAGTGCTGACTAACTACTAACTTAATTCTGATGGATTCATCAGTAATGTGTTCAATGCATTTACCTGCATATGGGTAATCAGATAATGGGTGTACACTGACAGAAATAAAGGTTCTGTGCAGGTAAGTCTTTTGTTGATAAAAGTACAAACAATGTAAATGTGCCCTCAAAGGTACAACAGTGGTTTTAAGGTCTGATGGTGAAACTTAAATAAGTTTTTCCAGGTGAAAAGTTCGTATTTGCATCTTTTCATAACCAAATGTTTTAAAATAGAACCATAAAATAAAAGCCTGGAGACGAGACGGGGTGTGTGGAGTGAGTACAACTTAGAAAATATAATTTTAATGGATTACAGTTATGCTCCCTGACTAAAGGTACTGAGAAGAGGGTCCCATCCCAGTGAAAAGAGGAGTACTGCCCCAGTGACTGAGAGTAAACATGATTTCACTGCTTTGCAACCCACCAACAAGCTCACAGAATAAGACGTGACATAAACGTAATGTAAAACTCAAACGTCAAGGCTGAGAAATCCGATTACAGGGCTACAATCCAGCTCTCTTTATCGGATTTCTAGGCCTTAACCCTTGTTTGGTGTTGGGGTCTGTATGACACATTTAAATGTTTACCGAAAGAAAAAATGATGCGATTTATTATTATTATTTTCAACCTGCTCATTTTCTGTGAAGAACATATAAAATAACCCATTTTCAGTGTCTTCACTCTGTTCACCCCCCACACATTTATATTACACATGTGGTGTTGGGTGAACCCGCGGGGAGTAAAAGTGTGGAGGTGCTGTGTCCTTCACTCTGTTCTCCTCCTACATGGCCTGCTGTTAGTGTGTGTGTGTGTGTGTGTGTGTGTGTGTGTGTGTGTGTGTGTGTGTGTGTGTGTGTATGTGTGTTTGTACATATGTGTGTGTGTGAGGGTGGACAACATGGACAGGCTGCTGTCTGGCTACAGCTGCTAAAGGAGAACCCTACGCTGGCCACTTGTGATATTGTAAACATCTGGCTGTATTGATTTAAAAAACAATAATGTGGTGGGTCCACCAGACCACTGAGTAACAAACACATCAACACCACACAAGGGTTAATCCAATCTAATATATTAGTCTATGGTCTTTACATGACCACTTGAATAATCAGATAACTGCCCAAATCTGATCAAGATTGGATTATTAAGTGCATGTAAATGCGCTCAGTTCCAGCTTTTTGACAGCTACATACTCTTTCAGACTCATAGTGTTGAGGATGGACAGAAACACCTGTAGATTTTTTCATAAAATACTGAACTACTATGAATGTATTGTGACAGGTTGAGTAGCAGCCTGTAGGTGTAATTTGGACGTAAAGCACCACTACATTTTTAATCACTTTATTGCTATTTCTGTAAGCCCTCTTGCCTAGAAGAAAGAAAAAGAAAGAAAGAGATGACTCACCGCTTTTGGTTGCCCTTATTGTGACGCTTTCAGAGCTGTAACTTAAATTACTCAGGCTGACATCTGAAAGCTGACATGTGAAAGTGGCATTTATGTCACCAGCCTCACAGTCCTGTTTCTGGATAATATAGTTGTATATGATGCAGCCTGAACCTGGACCAATAAAACACAAAGAAGCGTTAAAGTAAGAAAAAAAGAGCGTATTGTGGCTTTGAGTTCTATTCAGTCAACGTACAAATTCTCATGTCAGTATTAATGAACCCTCATTAAAACAGGAAGAGCTCCTGTCCTGTCTGACCTGGTGGCATCAGGCTGCCAGCTTGAGAGACCCTGATCCATTCAATTGTGTAACTGCTTTGGGCACAGCACTGCAGTGGTACCGTCAAAGTCTCACATTTAAACACTTTATCAGATCCTACTTGGATATTCGGGAAGGGCTGAATCTGAATTCTTTGCCACTGAATATTGGGCAATGAATTCTTTTCAGTTATGCACTCATACACACCTGTAAAATAAAAGAAAGACACAAAAATTAAACCACGTTACAATCACAGCATAGTTGTTAGCGAGCCAGCTAACGGATTCTTGATATGCTTCCTTATTTGAGCTGTAAGATTAGATTAAGTGACCCTTATTAGGCCCACAATGGGGAAATTTCACCTCCACATTTTATCCATCCGCGCAGTAAAAAACCGCATACACACTACTGAACACACACACTAGGGGGCAGTGAGCACACTTGCCCAGAGCAGTGGGCAGCCCTGGGGGTTAGGTGCCTTGCTCAAGGGCACTTCAGTCACGTACTGTCGGCTCAGGGGATCAAAAGGGTGACTTTCCGGTCACAAGGCTGGTTCCCTAACCTCCTGCCCACGACTGCGGTGAGTAGGTGAGTAGTGATAAGTAGAGATTTCCACTTTTTTTCCAAAAGTAAATCTGCTGTGGAAGTCTGATTCCTCCTGTATCAGACATTGAACAGTGATGGCAAATGGGCCAATTTCACTATATGTCCAAAAGTATCCAGACACCCGATCTAATTGCTGTCTTTCTGAACACACTAGACACCATACAGTAGCAGCTGCTGAGCAAGCCACTGCTTTGCTTTGATTGGCTTTCAAAACTTAATATTTTCTTCTAATTGGTTTACAAACTGTGATATGCGTTTTATTCTGTAACAGTTCTGAAATAAAATAAACTGCTAGAAATAACCTCAGGTCAATGTACTACGATTTAATTCTACAATTACATGGAAAAATGTACTTTCCACCTAATAGTGTCAGAGGTCATAGCAATGCTAAATCATAGAATCATTTATACAGTCTCAGCAAAAGTCTCGGCAAACCTCATCAGGTATTTTGTTGATTTTTTTTTAAGTGAAAATAAGTTACACATCCTCACACACAATTATTGTTTATTTGCTGAATTTAACTTAATGGAAAAAAATTAAAGTTCTGGCATATTTTATATTTGATGTTTTATTCTTTTCTTTCTTCTTTTTTCAATTATGTTAAACTTGAGAAAAGAGAAAATGTGCTCTAAAATGTGTTTACATACATTTTTGTTTGATATCTTGTAGAAGATTAACTATTAACCTATTAAGAAGGTTAACCTATTTTCACTCAGAAACCAGGGGCAGCTTTATTTTTATATTATATATTTTATATATATTATATATCTTTCTATTATTACTTTATTTGGAGTGGTCCTTTGTAGATGATTAATAGACTCTTAACACAGTGTCAGTAACACATCAACAACATATCAGTGAAGTAGCTGTAGTGCAGCATCTGAATACATTGAAGTAAATATCTTGTAGATGTTCAGTTGATACATTACTATGTTACTTCCATTACGCAAAACCTAACCTTACCAACCTCACCCAAAACCTACGCTCATATGTTTTTGACATGTTACTGAGAGTCCGTTGAGTGTTTGTTTCACCTAAAACCCATGTGTCATACACAAGGCCCGTGGGCAGATCAGGCCCATAACACAATCCTATCTGGCCCGCAAACATATTTTAATTTTCTATTAATATTAGCCCGTTTCACAATGCGCTGCACTACAATCCCCAGCATGCACTGCAACACAATGTGTGCTCTGACTCTCCTACCCCAACAGCAGTCTATGGGACAGCGGTTACACCTCAATTCTACACAGTTCTACACCAGTCATATCACCAAACACACTAGCTGCATTTCAGCTAAAGGTCAGCTCAAGTCTTAATGAACTTACAGGAAAGAAGCCAGGTGTTCTAGTTCAAGCAGATAGATTTAAAAGACAGAGCACCACATTTAAATTTTGAATATTACAAGTATCCATGTAATATTTCAAGGTCTACTACAAGTGTCTGTATTTTACTGCTGCAGTTTTTGTGTATTTTGAACAAACAATGGCCAGTTTGGGTTACAGCACAACATTAATTTAAAATGAAATAAAAAGTTTGACACCTCTGATCTAAAAGGACCACTCAAAATAAAGTGTCACCAAACTTTTGCATATGATCGTTCATACCAGTTCATTAGTAACTCAGCTTTTCACCTTCTGTACTGTTAAACTACTGGTTTATGTGGTACATAAAGTGAGGAGAACTAAACAAGAATGAATGAAGTACAACTCACCGCTGTACTCAGTGGTCACACTTTTGACTTTAAGAGTGTGGTTATTATTGAGGACACTATATTTATCTGGGTTTAGCAGAGCGTCAGCCCCGTTCACTCTCCATTTTATATCTCCGACTGCACCAGATGGAGGATCACAGTTCAGCTGCATTTCCTGCAGAGGATAGATTTTGCCCTGGTTTTGGACTAGGACACACTCATCTGAAACATGAGAACACCACAACACACCACTGAATTTAATATAACCTTCCAATTCCAGTGTTAAAATGACTTTCACTCCACCAGCAACCACTGCGACTGCTGCACACACCTTATTTGAAGGTTACCTACATTGGGATTTCATATCATATGCATAAGCATTTAATATCATATTTAAGAAGAAATAATTGAGCATTTAGGATCGGTTTATATCACAACATGACATGAGACATTTTATAAAGTAAATGGCATTGCACTGGCATAAGAGGCCTTAAACTAAAGTGATGGACATTTGTTCAATTTATAACAACATTATGACAATAACATATCGCTGCTGTCGGAACAAAACCTCGTATCTCCATTTTTCAGTTTTTGACATCATTTGCAAGTGCCTGTTGCCGTTTATGTTGTGTGGTTCCATTGACTGACATTAAAAGTAAGGTAAGTTTTTTCCTTCGCCTGTAAAGTTACTATTTTGGAGATATAAGGTTTTGATCCAACAGCTGCGAAATATATCCAATTTACGGAACCTGTAAGGTAGAGGTCTCATTAACACCATATACACCGATCAGGCATAACATTATGACCACCTCCTTGTTTCTACACTCATTGTCCATTTTATCAGCTCCACTTACTATATAGGTGCACTTTGTAGTTCTACAGTTACAGACTGTAGTCCATCTGTTTCTCTGCATACTTTGTTAGCCCCCTTTTACCCTGTTCTTCAGTGGTCAGGACCCCCATACAGGGCAGGTACTATTTGGGTGGTGGATCATTCTCAGCACTGCAGTAACACTGACGTGGTGGTGGTGTGTTAGTGTGTGTTGCGCTGGTATGAGTGGATCAGACACATATTCCAATGAAAGTAGAAATAAAGTACAAAAGTACTTGCTTTTTAATGCACTGAAGTACAAAAGTAAATATTCTATGAGTTATCAGTTATATCATTTTGATGAACACTTTCTAATAAAAAGACCTGCGTGGCTGAAGACATGAAACGACTGCAGTCACAGAGGTTCTCTCAATTGAAACTATGTGTCTGTACTTTAACTAAAATAGAAAGGCACAGAACTGATATAAAGTGTTATTAAGGTGGAGTCTGCTTTCTTAATTCTGCTTTGATGCTTCTTTAAAGTGTAAATGGAACAAATATCGGTCACTTTAGTTTAAGGCCCGTTATGTTACAATATAACTTATTTTTTAAAAATCTGCTGAAATTGACATTACTTGAAATGAAGCTGTTCAAAAACACTTTTAAATATCATCCATTTACTGTGCATGTGAGTCCTGTGCAGGTAACTTTATGTAACTCTTCAAAATACACTAGACATAACATTTGAAATGTAACAGAATAATTCAGCAAGAGTACTTTGCTCACTAAAACTGTAAACTCAAATATTCTTGACACTTACTGCTTTCCGAAAAGGAATTTTCATTTACTTTGAATCCTTTGTCATTAAGTGCATTAGAGAGCTCAGAGTTTGCTGATCCTAAATCAAGGGTATCCGTTGTTGTTGCAATTGTAAAGTCTGCAATTACACTGCCAGGCCTAGAAAACACATAGAGAACACCAACGCACAGAGTTGGTCATTGCACCATAAAACAGAGAAACATGGGAATAACAGTGTATTTTACGGCTGCTAGTGTTTAGAAACTGTGAGCTCACCTGAACCCGGAGACCGTGACAGAACCTGATTTGTAGCCAGCTACATTTTTGTATGAAGCATCTATCTGAAAAACAGTGCAAGTTATTATGCTGATTTCTGAATGATGTGGAGCTCTGAGGTGAGCGTCATATTCACTCCTACTGAAACTGTCTCTGAGAAAAGGTTTTCAGTGTCTTTTAAAGCACAAACACTTTCACACAGTTTGAGTATGAATTTTGATTCTGATTGTTAATCATCAAGCATCCATTCATAAAACCAAACTGTACTTTCATTTCAAGTCTGTTTTCGTTTCAATACACAAATATTCCAATAAACAGCACTAATATCTTAGACTATATTATATTTATTTCACTTCTACATATAAAATTAGCCATACTTACTGACTGCTCGATTAGAGCTTTATATCTCAAGTACTTTGCACTACTTGGGTCGGTGAGTGTGACATCAAACTTTTCGTTTATTGTCAGTGACATACTTATTGAGTTCTCTAGGAAAGAAAAGTGAGATTAAAGCAATCAGTTACAGATGCACTGTACTGTAAGAATTAAGGACACAATCCTTAAAGCTGCAGTCATCCTTTTTACACCCAGCAGTGACCGTTTGGTTAACGTTTGGTGGTACTAGGAGGAAATGGGAAAATCTGTGTGTCAGTTTAGCATGCACAGGTTGATGATGATGCACTAACCTGTATATATTTACGAGAAATAAACTGGAACAGCAACCAATTTTGCTGTTATAGCACATACATACAAAAGGGCATCCAGCTCCTATCCCCTACCCAGGATAAGAGGCCCCTCTGGTGAATCTTGTGTTAAAATGAATATGTCAAATAATTTATCTTTGCATTCTTTAATAAATGCAATAACGATTAAAACAACAATAATCATGATAAACAAAGCAATTAAATTCAATTTTAGTTGATAAGTGCAACTGATTGAAAAATGTAAACGATTAGTGCACACATAACACATTTTCCAGGGGAATATGTTCCCAGGAATATTATCTGGCTGACACTGGAAGAGCAGTGGATCTTAATCCTGGCTCTGGATTACCACTGCTCTGCCATACTGTAGTGTTCTCCCTGCTCTAACACACCCAGTTCAATTTCTTCTTTATTTGCATCTGGTGTTTTCGGGAGCAGGGGGAGCTCCAAAAAGTGCACTGCATTGGTACTGCAGGGCCAGGGCTGAGAATCACTCTAACTAAATCCAAAATTGAATCCAGATGATAGCACTCCTGGAGGTAGAGCATGGTGGGTTTTCATAGACAAAACCCCCCTCCAATGCAATCTCTTTACACTTCTCCCATCTAGCAGACGATACAGGAGTAGGACCACCAGATTAGTTTCTACCCCCAGACCATCACTCTGAACACTTTGCACCCAATGGCCCTACCTTCAACCACACCTCATACTCCACTGACATAAGCATATGACCAATGATTTGGTCCCAGAACCCCCCCATCCCACACCCTTTACCACTCTCCCATGAGGTGGCTGCTAGAACATTACAGACGTTCACTCAAAGCAATATGCAATTCTAAAGTAGCTGCTATGTAGTTCACTGCGCAATTGCACAAATGAAGAACTGTACACTCTAGAGTTAGAAATAAAGGTTCTGTGCAGGTTCTGTTTTCATCAAAGTACAAACAATGTAAATGTTCCCTCAAAGGTACAACAGTGGTTTTAAGGTACTTTAAATAAGTTTTTCTCAGTGGAAAAGTAGATTTTTGTACCTTTTTCATAACCGAATGTTTTAAAACTGAACAATAAAATAAAAAGCCTGGAGACGAGACGGGGTGTGTGGAGTCAGCACAACTTAGAAAATATAATTTCATTGTATAATGGTACAACTATGTTCCCTGACTAAAGGTACTGAGGTACTGAGACACCCCAGTGACAAGAGAGGGACTGCCCTAGTGACAGTTGTGTACCTTTATATGTATACACTGGCATTTCAATGTTTACTGTCTATATGACAGGACTGTATATTTTTGATAGGGCGTATGATACATACATATGTATACTTTTAAGGACACTTGAATCTCTAACAGTGCAACTGTGTGTTTATCTGTGCATATGACAAACATATAAATCTTTTATCTTGGTCATTCAGTAAATGTGACACTAGGTTTGGTTTAGTGGCATCCATTACTTCATAGGAGAGAAAATAAGAGGTGGTGGCTGTTTAAACATATCCTATAAACTCGCCTTTAAAAATGTAATCTTTAATTATGTGGTATGTTTGTCTATGTTTTCATATCTATTAGACATAGAATTATGAATAAACTGGCTTTAAAATCTGATTTTGCTATGCAGACATACTGTCTGTTTTCCAGGCACTTCAAATAACTGACCAGTAGATGGCAACAGATACATGTAACAAAAATCCAGTGATGCTGGCATATAATAAGAATGCTTGAAAAAAGAAACACAGAATCCGGGGAATGGAGGCATTCTGGGTAAATGTCAGTATAATATATATATATATATATATATATATATATATATATATATATATATATATATATATATATATATATTAGATTTAGACAGTTGAATAACTTCCTATGCTAAAACAGGCAAATGAAAAGCTTTAGGAGGCACACCTGATGAGACTGTAGGGGACAGTGAGGGAGCTACAGTGCTTGGAGATTCTGTTGTGAGAAAAGGAAGAGAGAACAGGTACATATATGGGACAAAAAGTCTTCAATGTGCATTTCAGAAAGCAGTTCTAACATTTACATTGACAAGATCCAATCCTAATAAAACTTTTGCTTATATTTTTGTTAATAAACAACATATATTCCAAAGTGATCATTACATCAACCAAACATACCTCTACATGGGTTACTTATGCTGACATTCAAACTTGAGTTTGTTGCAGTGAATCCACTCAAGCAAGAGCAATTGTATCCTCCTATTGTGTTGGTGCAGGTGGAGTTTGGGCCACAATAAGACGGCGTAACAAGACACTCATTCACATCTACAAAATGAACGGCACATTTTCTCATACATCAAGAGTCTTCAAGTGTGCATTTAAGGACAATACAGAAAAGGGACTATGGCAGTAAATGAATCTGGGACAGTCTAACACAACAACGCTGAGAGTGGGTCAGTTCAGGCTTCAGATTCAGGCATTCTGAAGAATGTAATACACTACCAAAGAAAGGGCACCAACATTAGGTGCATTTCTGTGTATAGTATTGGTATTATGTATTACGTTTAGAGCTGCATTTGAATCCCTGATATGACTCAGCACAATGCACTAATGCTAGTTATCTACTCTGGTTCTGGAATCACCCGTGAACTATATATCGCTGTTGTTGGAAGAAAACCTTGTATCTCCAAAATGGTAACTTTGAGGGAGAAGGAAAAAAACGACTTTATTTTTAATGTAAGTCAATGGAACCAGACTTTTTTCAAGTCATTTTGGGACGTTTCTTTTGGTCCATTCATCATGAAATCTACACACAATGTAAAGGGCAAGAAGTATTTTCAAATTATGCCAAAAACTGAAAAACATCTGGAGATAGGAAGTTTTCTTCCGACAACAGCTATGTATGTGTATATCTATATCTATATATCTATATCTATGTCTATATCTATCTATCTATCTATCTATCTATCTATATATATATATATATATATATATATATATATATATATGTGTGTGTGTGTGTGTGTGTGTGTGTGTGTGTGTGTGTGTGTGTGTGTGTGTCTGTACAAGGACACATTCATTATCAATGCATAGACCACAATAAAAACAAAAACAATATAACAACCAGATAAACAGCCGTCTCTTACCTCTACATGGGTTACTTATACTTGCGGTGAGACTTGAATTTGAAACTGTAAATCCAGGCAAGCAAGAGCAACTGTAACTTCCTAATGTGTTGTTGCAGGTGGAGTTTGAGCCACATACAGACGGCACAACACGACACTCATCCACATCTACAAGATAAATATGATAATCAATGATCACAAATCTTTTATTTGTAATAAATGCAGTAAATTTCACTCTGAACTTAAGATGCTGTTGTGTTGGGAGATAGACTTTGGACACAGCGGATGTATAAACATTCACAGAAATCTTGATTGAAGGAAAGCACTGCAAATATTGCCTGAGACCATTTGATTATTGAAGCCTGACATTCCTTGATCCCAGAACGTTGAACAACTTTTTAATAATTTACCTTGGCATGGGTTACTCATACTGACGCTCTGGCTTGAGTTTGTTTTAGTAAAAGGATTTAATTAAAACATTTAAGATTTCCACTAGGGGGCCCTGCAGAAAGAGACGACAAAACAGCTCTTTGAATTCCCTACTTTTTCTGTCTCAGCACTGTAGCTGACTTTTACTTTGTCATACAACTTTTTTGTGCATTTCTGGTCTGACTCCATTAATGAGTGAAAGTAAAGGAGATCAGAGTCACCAAAGACCATTGTTGTCGGTTATGCTGTAAACAGTCTGAATTCCTAGCTTAAAGTCAAACATTTGAAGCTTGGATCAGACGTCTATGTAACTAAATTCCTGTTTAAAGCTTCTCAACGTTTTTGGAAGAGCCTGTGAATATTATTAGAGTTAGCTATCTAAATAGCTGGTCAGCTTATTGTATGAATATCGAGCAATTCGACAGACCATTAAGAGCAACCAGCAATGTCTGGTTTGAGGCTGGGTGGCAGATCTAATCACTAAACAGAATCATAGTCCTTTTGCCTTCAACACTGTGAACTATCCATTGTTTTTCCTGCTGCTGTTGCCCTCGACTTGCTTAATTGAGAATTGGACAAGGATTTCTGTAAAGCTGTTTTGTACTTTGTTCAAAAACCCTACACAAATACATATGAATTGAAAAGAATGCAAGATGGTTACGGTTATAGAAGCACACCATTTCGTACCACTGTGTAATCACTGAGCTTTTAATTCTTACCTATACAAGGATTACTAGCATTGATAGGAAGTCTTGAGTTTGTTGCAGTAAATCCATTCAAGCAAGAGCAACTGTATCCTCCTATTGTGTTGCTGCAGGTGGAGTTTAATCCACACACAGGAGGTGATGACAGGCATTCATTTACGTCTGTGAAGAGGAAAAAAATCAACTGTTAGTTAAAAAAGCTGAAAATCTGTTGTTAACTAAAAAACACAAGTGAAATTTCCAACAGTGTTGGTTTATGTTGTCACTGGACCACATACTGCAGTGTCAACACACTCATACACATCTTGATGAAAGTAAACAATATTAATATCATTTATAATAACTTCTAATAAAAGATAGACATGTGAGGAAAAGCTATTAAACAACCACTGTCATATATACATATTAAAAACACTTTTTAGGGCATTATTACACACATCTGACATTTTCCCTGTCATAAAATTGAATTCTAGAGTGATTTTGAAGGTACTACAATGTCCCACAACTCTTAAATTCTAGTGAACACAGTCGATCACTCCACCAGCTGACTGTATCAATCAGCATTTCAGGGCTCTTGTTACTAAGCAATGGACAGAAGAAGAATAGCCAATGTTAAAGCTACACTGTGCAACATTTGGGGATTTGGAGACCTCTCTGGTGGAAATGTGTAATTGCATACAACGCATGGAGGAACATTTTGTAACATCAGTTGTGCTTTGGACCCTTTACTCGAGAAGAGGACTCTGATTACTGTGAGCACATTGAAAGAGTGTTTAAAGAGAACTCAGTCAAAACACCTGTTGTTAAAAAACTCTATACAAATACATTTGAAATGAACTGAATAATATTAAACTGGATCTGTCAACTTATTTGCAGGGCACTACAATCTCCCACAATGCACTTGTAATTTCTAGTGAGCACTGTAGTGACGGTTATTGTCATGGAAACACACCCATTACCACTGTGACTTCACTTGTCTAAACACTATGCTTCCACTGAATGCTTACCTATACAAGGGTTACTAGCATTAATAGGGAGTCTGGAGTTTGTTGCTGTAAATCCATTCAAGCAAGAGCAACTGTATCCTCCTACTGTGTTGCTGCAGGTGGAGTTTAATCCACACACAGGAGGTGATGACAGACATTCATCTACGTCTGTAAATAGGAAAAAAAATCAAGTGTTAGTTAAAAAGCTGAAAATCCATTGTTAGCTAAAAAACTAAAGGCATACACAAGTGAAATTTCCGAGTGTTGATGCATGTTTTCACTGGACCACATGCTGCAGTGTCAACACACATGTTGATTAAAGGAAATAATTATTAATATTTCTTATAATAACTGCTAATTAGAGTTTGATGTGACTGTGTATGGCTGTGTATTAATAAGCATTGCTGTTCTCTTGTAACTGAGTAACAAACAGAAGAATGTTACTTAATGTTAAAGTTACACTATGGCAGATTTGGAGACCTCTCTGGTGGCAATATGTAACTGCACACAACGTGTGGAAAAACATTTTGTAATGTCGGTTGTGCTCTGGAACCATCAAGGAAACAAATCTGATCATTGTAAGTGCACTGAAAAGAGTATTCAAAGAGAATGCACTCAAAATTTCATGGACCTAATTCTAAACTTAACCTAAACTTGAAAACTAGACGTAGTCCTAAAACTAACTCTAAACCTTAACTTTAAACCTTATCCTAATTATAACACTGTTTACAATCAACTGAGGTTTACCAGATAGTTTGGTAACAACTGAAGCACCTACAGATAATTCACATAGGACTATGATAATAAAGGGTGATCAGCTTATTATATTTCTCTACGTATGAATAATCACTTCTTTTTCAGCCTATAAAGCCATAGTCAGTCTTACACAGAGAAGTATAATTTAACAATATCGAGACTCAAAGAAAAACATTCATCTCCAAAATACATTACATGGCTAAAAGTTACCAAATTATTGAGTTCAGATCTTCTCAGCCGCACTCACTATAAACAGACGTATAAAATCAAGCACATCGCTATGGAATCTTCATAAACAAACACTGGCAGTTAAATCAAGTCGAACTGAAGAGCTCAGTGACTTTAAACAGTGTCATAGGATGCCACCTTTGCCACAAGTCAGGTCTTGAAATTTCTGCCCTGCTAGATCTGCTCCTGTCAAGTGCTATTATTGTGAAATGGAAGTGCCTAAAAGCAACAACAGCTCATAAAGCGCTAAAGTATGCAACCTCACAGAGCGGGGTCAGCGAGAACCTAGTGTGTAAAATCAGGCCACGAGTTTAATCTAATATCAGGGCCTGACCTGGCAAACTGTGTTTTGACTGAATGGGCACAAATTCCCCCAAAACTCCACATAACTGCCCATCGTTATGGAATGGGATGTCCAACAAGCTCATATAGGTATGATGGTCAGGTGTCTACATACTTTTGGCCATATAGTATATTAACTTTACAGGAGAAGGCAAAAAGCTTCTTAACTTTGAATGGAAGTTAATAAAAATGAATGATCACTTGTGTAATTACTGAGCTTCCATTTAACGCTTACCTATACAAGGATTACTGGCGTTGATAGGGAGTCTGGAGTTTGTTGCAGTAAATCCATTCAAGCAAGAGCAACTGTATCCTCCTATTGTGTTGCTGCAGGCAGAGTTTAGTCCACACACAAGAGATGATGACAGACATTCATTTACGTCTATGAAGAGGAAAAAAATCAACTGTTAGTTAAAAAAGCTGAAAATCCATTGGTAATTGCATGCAACGCATGGAAGAACATTTTGTAACATCAGTTGTGCTTTGGACCCTTTACTCGAGAAGATGACTCTGATGACTGTGAGCACATTGAAAGAGTGTTTAAAGAGAACTCAGTCAAAACTTGATGAATACCTACTGTTAAAAATGCTATACAAATACATTTGAATTGAACTGAATAGTATTAAACTGAATATGTCGACTTATTTGCAGAGCACTACAATCTCCCACAATGCACTTGTAATTTCTGGTGAGCACTGTAGTGATTGTTATAGTCATGGAAACACACCAATTAGTGCCATTTTGACTTCACTGGTCTAAATACGATGCTTTCTTTTAATTCTTACCTATACAAGGGTTACTAGCATTGATAGGGAGTCTGGAGTTTGTTGCAGTAAATCCATTCAAGCAAGAGCAACTGTATCCTCCTATTGTGTTGTTGCAGGCGGAGTTTAATCCACACACAGGAGGTTCTGACAGACATTCATCTACGTCTGTAAAAGAGAAAAATATACTGTTAAAAAGCCGTTGATAACTAGCCTTGAGTTTGTTGAGCACCACTGATCTCGCTCTCTTTAGGTGGGTAGGATGGTCTTCCTCGCCTTCCATCGCCCAGCAGGATGCTAACCAGCACAGGCCTCTGTTAGCTGATGTAACAGATCTGGCACAACTGGCAGTTAGCATTCTTCACCAGCGATTGCATTAGCAGCAGTTTCAAATGATGCATAGTTGCTTCACATGACTCAGAGGAAGCATGTGCTTCACCCTCCTAGCACTGGTGGTATTGTGTGATTGGGGGAGACCTCGCTAGAAAAGAGTATTCAAAGAGAATGCACTCAAAATTTCATGGACCTAATTCTAAACCTAATCTAAACTTGAAAACTAGACGTAGTCCTAAAACTAACTCTAAACCTTAACTTTAAACCTTATTCTAATTATAACACTGTTTACAATCAACTGAGGTTTACCAGATAGTTTGGTAACAACTGAAGCACCTACAGATAATTCACATAGGACTATGATAATAAAGTGTGATCAGCTTATTATATTTCTCTACATATGAATAATCACTTCTTTTTCAGCCTATAAAACCATAATCAGTCTTACACAGAGAAGTATAATTTAACAATATCAAGACTCAAAGAAAAACATTCATCTCCAAAATACCTTATATGGCTAAAAGTTACCAAATTATTGAGTTCAGATCTTCTCAGCCGCACTCACTATAAACAGACGTATAAAATCAAGCACATCGCTATGGAATCTCCATAAACAAACACTGGCAGTTAAATCAAGTCGAACTGAAGAGCTCAGTGACTTTAAACAGTGTCATTGGATGCCACCTTTGCCACAAGTCAGGTCTTGAAATTTCTACTCTGCTAGATCTGCTCCTGTCAAGTGCTATTATTGTGAAACGGAAGTGTCTAAAAGCAACAACAGCTCATAAAGCGCTAAAGCACTCACAGAGCGGGGTCAGCGAGAACCTAGTGTGTAAAAATCGGGCCATGAGTTTAATCTAATATCAAGGCCTGAGCTGACAAACTGTGTTTTGACTGAATGGGCACAAATTCCCCCAAAACTCCACATAACTGCCCATCGTTATGGAATGGGATGTCCAACAAGCTCATATAGGTATGATGGTCAGGTGTCTACATACTTTTGGCCATATAGTATATTAACTTTACAGGAGAAGGCAAAAAGCTTCTTAACTTCTTAAAATGAATGATCACTTGTGTAATTACTGAGCTTCCATTTAACGCTTACCTATACAAGGATTACTGGCGTTGATAGGGAGTCTGGAGTTTGTTGCAGTAAATCCATCCAAGCAAGAGCAACTGTATCCTCCTATTGTGTTGTTGCAGGCAGAGTTTAGTCCACACACAAGAGATGATGACAGACATTCATTTACGTCTATGAAGAGGAAAAAAATCTACTGTTAGTTAAAAAGGCTGAAAATCCATTGTTAGCTAAAAAACAAATGAAGGCATACACAAGTGAAATTTCCAACTGTGTTAGTTCATGTTGTCACTGGACCACATACTGCAGTGTCAACATCTTGATTAAAGGAAGTGATATTAAAATTATTTATAATAACTTCTAATGAAAGTTTGACATGCAAGGAAAAGCTAGTGACGAACCACTGACAAAAGTATGTGGACATCCCACCTAATTATTGAGTTCAGGTCTTTTCAGCCACATTCACTATTAACAGGCTCATGAAATCAACCATGTAAGCTTGGAATCTCCATAAACAAACACTGGCAATAGAATGAGTCGTACTAAGGAGCTCAATGACTTTAAACAGTGTCATAGGATGCCACCTTTGCCACAAGTCAGGTCTTGAAATTTCTGCCCTGCTAGATCTGCTCCTGTCAACTGTCAGTGCTATTTTCGCGAAATGGAAGTGTCTAGTAGCAACAACAACTCATAAAACGCTAAAGCATGCAAACTCACAGAGCGGGGTCGGCGAGAACCTACAGCATAAAAAAATTGCCGTACGTCTGCTGCATCACTCACTACAAAGTTCCAAACTGCTTGGAAGCAACAACAGCATAAGAACTGTGTGTCAGGAGAGTCATGAAATGGGTTTACATGGCTGAGCAGCTGCACACAAGATTGAGATCACTATGTGCAATGCTAAGCATTTAATCTCCCAATCTTAGTTCCAGTGAAGGGAAATGTTAATGCTACAGCATACAAAGATATTTTAGACAATTATTTGCTTTCACCTTTGTAGCAACAGTTTCCTGTTCATGCATGACTGAGCCCCTGTGCACAAAGCGAGGTACAAAAAGACATAGTTTGGCGAGTTTGGTGTGAAGACGTTCCAGTGGCCTGTGCAGAGTTAACCCCATCAAACAGGGCCAGGTCTTCTTATCTAATATCACGGCCTGACCTGACACACTGTGTTTTGACTGAATGGGCAATAATTCCCACAAAACTGCACATATTTGCTTGTTATTTTGGAATGGGATGTCTAACAAGCTCATACAGGCGTGATGGTCAGGTGTCTACATACATTTGGCCATATAGTATATTACCTTTACAGGAGAAGGCAAAAAGGTTGTTAGGTGAAAATGATTACTTTAATCAGTGTAATCACTGAGCTTCCGTTGAATGCTTACCTATACAAGGATTACTAGCATTGATAGGAAGTCTTGAGTTTGTTGCTGTAAATCCACTCAAGCAAGAGCAACTGTATCCTCCTATTGTGTTGTTGCAGGAGGAGTTTAATCCACATACAAGAGATGATGACAGACATTCATCTACATCTGTGAAGAGAAAAAAAATGTAGTTAAAAAAGCTGAAAATCTGTTGTTAACTAAAAAACACAGGTGAAATTTCCGACCGTGTTGGTTTATGTTGTCACTGGACCACATACTGCAGTGTCAACACACTCATACACATCTTGATGAAAGTAAACAATATTAATATTATTTATAATAACATCTAATGAAAGTTTGACATGTGAGGAAAAGCTTTTGAACAACCACTAACATATATACATATTAAAAACACTTTTTAGGGCAATATTATGCACGTCTGCCATTTTCCCAAAGCATAAAATTGAATTCTAGAGTGATTTTGAAGGTACTACAATGTTCACTCTTGAATTCTAGTGAACATAGTAGATCACTCCACCAGCTGACTGTATCAACAGGCATTTCCAGTCTATTGTTACTAAGCAATGGACAGAAGAATAAGAGCTAATGTTAAAGCTACTCTACGTAATATTTGGGGATTTGGAGACCTCTCTGGCGGAAATGTGTAATTGCATACAACGCGTGGAAGAACATTTTGTAACATCAGTTGTGCTTTGGACCCTTTACTCGAGAAGAGGACTCTGATGACTGTGAGCACATTGAAACGCATTGAGTGTTTAAAGAGAACTTGAACACCTACTGTTAAAAATGCTATACAAATACATTTGAATTGAACTGAATAGTATTAAACTGAATATGTCGACTTATTTGCAGAGCACTACAATCTCCCACAATGCACTTGTAATTTCTAGTGAGCACTGTAGTGATTGTTATAGTCATGGAAACACACCAATTAGTGCCATTTTGACTTCACTGGTCTAACTACTATGCTTCCTTTTAATTCTTACCTATACAAGGATTACTAGCATTCATAGGGAGTCCGGAGTTTGTTGCTGTAAATCCATTCAAGCAAGAGCAACTGTATCCTCCTATTGTGTTGGTGCAGGCAGAGTTTAATCCACACACAGGAGGCTGTGACAGACATTCATTTACGTCTGTAAAAGAGAAAAATATACTGTTAAAAAGCCGTTGATAACTAGCCTTGAGTTTGTTACAGCAAATCCCTTCAAGCAAGAGCAGCAGAAACTGTAAAAAATGCAAAGATGCAACCGTCTAAACGTTGGTCGTATCATCAAGAGATCACTAGTTCATCCCCCGGTAGTGCCATAGCTATCGGTGGCTGGAAGTCAGAGAGAGCACAATTGATCTCGCTCTCTAGGTGGGTAGGATGGCCTTCCTCGCCTTCCATCACCAGCGCAGGCGTCTGTTAGTTGATGTAACAGATCTGGCACAACTGGCAGTTAGCATTCTTCACCAGCGATTGCATTAGCAGCAGTTTCAAATGATGCATTGTTGCTTCACATGACTCAGAGGAAGCATGTGCTTCACCCTCCTAGCACTGGTAGTATTGTGTGATTGGGGGAGACCTCACTAGTGGAACCGGATATGACTCAAAAAAAAAAAATAAAAAATTGATGCCAAAAAATGTTTTAATGCATTGTCACCAGATGTGTTTTCTTGTTACAAGATCACATCTGGCGCATCAAGAGTAGGACCTGGCTTAAGCTCTGTCCTGAAAACCAACTACATTTTGCACAAGTACATTTTCCAATGGAAAAAAAGAAGGAAATTATTTGAAATATCTTGACCAGAACATCAAACTGACATGTAATATCTTACCAGTGCATGGGTTACTAACGCTGACAGGCAGATTTGAGCTGGTTGCAGTAAATCCCACCCAGCAAGAGCAACTGTATCCCCCTATTGTGTTGATGCAAGTGGAGTTTGGACCACATACAGATGCGCCAAGTAGACATTCATCCACATCTGCAATGAAAGATTTTCTCTTCTTGTAATTTGAGCATCATCATGTTTCTAGTATTCACAGAAAGTGGAAAAGGTCTGTGTAGGTTCCTTTGTAAGTACTGACCTCTACAAGGGTTATTGATGCTAATCATCAGACTTGAGTTTGTTTCAGTAAATCCCTTCAAGCAAGAGCAGCTGTGTCCTCCTACTGTGTTGGTGCAGGTGGAGTTTGGACCACAAATAGATGGTTCAGGTGCACATTCATCTATATCTGTGAGAGAAATTAAAGAGTTTCTCTTGAATTCTTCGAATGGCAATGGGATGTCCAACAAGCTCATACAGATGTGATGGTCAGGTGTCCACACACTTTTGGCGTTATAGTATATTAGCTTTACAGGAGAAGACAAATAAGTTCTTAATTTTGAATGCAAGTTAATGTACAGATGTTTTACTCTAAGTGATTTTGGAGCATTTCTATTGGTCCATTGATCATGAAATTTTCACACAGTGTAAATGACGTAAAAAATTTAATTCAACAAAAATAGAGATGCATTTTTTGGACAGCAACAAAATAAAGCTGGTCTCAGTACACACACACGGCTAGCTGGACAGAAAATACCGAAATATATTCAAGGAAGCATTTTTCTTACTTAACTTGAAATGACTTGAGCAGAAGATGAAACTAAAGTTTAATATCTTACCTAAACACGGGTTACTAGCATTGATCTTTAGATTGGAGTTTGTTGCAGTAAATCCAGGCCAGCAAGAGCAGCTGTATCCTCCTACTGTGTTGGTGCAGGTGGAGTTTGGACCACAAACAGATGGAGTGGACAGACATTCATCCACATCTGTGAAATTAATAAAATGTTGTGTCTTATAATTTTGTCTGTCAGCAGCATTTGGTAGCAGAGTAAGATATAAAAAATATCTTGAGTAAAACACAAACTTTCAGTATATCATTTCTGAAGGAACAAAACCTTCAAACCATAAAATGGTAACTTTGCAGGAGAAGCTTTAAGTTCGTAATTACAGGTGTATAAAAAGTCTTTTACATGAACCCTTCTATGTCTGTAGTTTTAGGCCATGTTGCATGTACAGCATATTTAAGATCTACCCACAGACTTTCACTGATGGTTAAGTCAGGGGACAGTGAGAGTCATTCCAAAAGCTTCAGCTTGCATTTCTTGAAGTATTTCATGGTGGATTTTGAGGTATGTTTGGGATCATTATCCTGTTGTATAAGTCAGCCTCTGTGCAGCTTCAGTTTCTTGACTGATTATGTCACACTTGCTTACCAAATTCGCTGATATTTAGAGGAATTTTAACTTCCATCTACCTGTGTTATGTTTCCTTTGCCTCTGACTGCCAAACAACCCCAAAATAAAATAGATTCACCCCCATGGTTTTATAGTGACACTTTAAACAGTGGAAATTGCGATATGGAAGAGCGTTTTATAGCCTTCTACTGCTTTGTAGGCATCAATTTTCACATGCTTAGCCAGCTGCTTAGTGGTTGTTGAGTATTATCACAAGGTTTACAGAGTCAGAGAATTTATCATGCTCTGGACAATTTCTAATGACGATTCTTGACCTGACTAACCAGTCCTGATGAGTCAGTTGAGGTCGAACAAATTAAAGTTCTGAGACTCTACTACGGGAGGAATATTCAAATGTTTGCGCATGCCACAATTACTGTATTCTATTTTATAAGTTAACAAAGCATTAACATTTACAGAAAGTTTTTTTTTTTTTTTAAATAGTTTTTCACATCAAAATCAAGGAAGTACATAATTTGGCCAGCAGATGACTGGACAATTGCACACTTCAACTGAATTCTGTATTAATAAGCCAAATTATTAAAAGCCATAAATGCTTACTGTTCATCTTTGACCATTTTTTTTAATTGACCATTGTATTTTATTATGTTGTATATTATACAGTTTTACAAAAGCAATCAGCCATTTCTGCCTGTGACTTTTACTACAGTTAAAGGGGGTTTGATTCCATGTCACAACATGCCTAGCAACACCTTTTATCTATAGTAGACTGTTACATGTGGCTTCTTGTGGTTTACTGCTCTGAGATGCTGAGATCTGAGATTTCTGAGATCACAAAAACTCAGATTTCCGAGATGACACAAACTCTGAAAGAGTGCTGAAAGACTGTGGCGGTGCATGTGCAGTCTCGAGGCCACTATATAACTATATAATATATAATATACACTATATAATAATGCAGTACAAGTAGCAAAATGTTTTCACAAAATGAATTTAAAATGAACTGTACTGAGACAAGCTCAGGAGGTTTTGTGAGTTCTGTTCATTTGTGGGTCTGTTTAGAGGGGATTCATGACTCAGTGGCCTGAGAGCACTTGAAATGTTGAATTTAGTTGGAGGCTTGAGCCTGTAACATCAGTCACCGCAGTAGAGGACGCTACACATTTAACTGTGTTGATTAAATTTATAGCATTACAACATGATATGGCTGTTTCAATCTTAAACTTAATTTTCTAAAAAAGACATTTAAAAACTGACCTCTACAAGGGTTAGTAATGTTGACAGCTACACTTGAGTTTGTTGGAGTAAATCCTCCCACGCAAGAGCAGCTGTATCCTCCTATTGCGTTGGTGCAGGTGGAGTTTGGACCACAAATAGATGGTTCAAGTGTACATTCATCTATAACTGTGAGAGAAATTACAGCGTTTATCTTCAGTTCTTTCATCAGCAATATTTCATACTTTCACTTTAGAAAATTTCAATTTATAATCAAAAGGTTATATACCTTCACCAAAAAATGAAACCACAGTTTAATAACAGAACATACAAGCTTTACTGTTGCTGATACTTCAGTTTGTTACAGCAAATCTATTTAGTTAAGGGTAATTGCAGCCTCCCACCGTGCTGATGCAGATGGCATAAACTAGTTCAGAGGTTTGAAATCAATGTTTTCAATAACAGACAACTAGTTTAGTTTTAGATACATGTATAAAATGAATTCACTATGCTAGTCCAGTCCAACATCATAGGTTCTAGATGTGTTCCGAGTGATGAATGGAGCTGTACATGACTGTATAATGACTGTGAAAGCTGTATAACACAAGTAATAAAGTTCTAATAAAATAACATTCAAGAAGGCTTTGCATTTGAGAAGTGATGAAAGTTGAAAGGAGCCAATGTGATATAAAATAACTGTAAACAGATAAATGCAGTATAGTATGTATAATTTTAAAAGAAGTTGTTTTTGTCCAAAATACTTCAACTTTTTATTTTTTTTTACAATATTTAAGTTATTGTACAGTGGCAAAAAGTACTTTTGTATTACCTAGTATTCTGCATTAATTGGTCATAAAATATGATACATTCTTCATCAAAGTCACAAATACAGACAAACACAATGTGGCAAAGCTAATAACACATACACAGTATTTAAGAGAAAGCGTGGATCATTCCTTCCAGTAATGCTGCTTCAGCTCAGCCATACTGTTTGGATGTGTAGTGTGAATGGTATCTCTATTGGGTTCAGGTCTGGGCTCTGGCTGCTTCACAAGTGAACTTCATTTTCTCTACCATTAGACCGAGTAGTTGTAGATTGACTTAAATATTTAGGTTCCTCATCCTGCTGTATCACCCAGCTTCTGCTGAGCTTCAGCCAGCGGACAGTCACCCTGACTTGAATCTGTGAGGTACTTTAATAAACTTGGCAATTTATTTTTTCCTCGATGTTGGTAATTGGTCCAGGCCCTGAGGCAGCAAAGCAACCCTAAATCATGATGATCCCTCCACCAGATTTCACCGTTGGGGTGACGTTTTTGTGGTACACCATACATAGTGCTGTGTTCTCTCCCTGAACAATTCATGCTTAGTTTCATTAATCCACAAAACTTTTTCCAGGAGGCTTTTTGGAGTGTGAAGGTGCTCTTAAGCAGACTTCAAGTGTACAGCGATGTTAATTTTTCAGAGAGCAGTGGCTTCTTCTGTGGTGTCCTACTGTAGACACATTTGTCTAACTATAGACTGATAAACACCTTAAGTTTATTTTGTAACCCTTTCCAGTCTTATTCACATCTATAATTACTGACAGTAGGTCTTCTGAGATCTCTTTTTTACAAGGTTCACATCAGCAGATGTTTCTTGTGCTTAGCAAACTCAAAACATTTGTGTAGCTCCCATCTTATTTCCTAGAGCGTGTTTACATGCACTCAATAATCTGATCATAACTGGATTTCTGCAGTTATCTATTTTTAAAATGGTCATGTAAACACCATAGACCACTCCGATCTAGAAATCCGATTAAGAAATCTGATAAAAGGCTGGATTTTAGCTCAGTAATCAGATTTCTCAGTGCATGTAAACTCTTACTCTGATTTCTTTCAGATTTCTCAGTCTAACAAAGCAAACACTTTTCGAGTGACCCTGAAACCAAACATGAAATAAAGGATTTGAATATTCTTAATCTTCTAGATGATGTTTGTTCATATTTTCTGGTGAAGTGACACGATGTTTAAAAAAAAAGCTGCGGTCTTAAGTTTGAGTTTTACATTACGTTTGCATCATGTCTTCTTCTGTGAGTTTATTGCCTGGTTGTAAAGCGGAAATCTGATTACTATCTGACTCATGTAGACCCAGAGTTTCCCCATTATCTGATTACTCAAGTGCATGTAAACATGTTGATCGGATTACTGACAAAATCTGATTTTCTGCAGTCATCAGATTATTAAGTGCATGTAAATGCATTCATTGATTGGACTCCAGGTTTGTTAACTCCTGACTCTTATGAGCTTTTACAAAGCAGGAGATCAAATGATCAGTAGTTTGAAAACCAAGACCAGCTGATTAAACAAGTGGAATAAGGGGGACATTATCCAGTTTATACACTGCAAATGTTTGAATGATGGATTCAATATGGATAAGAAAAATACACTATTGTTTGTGTTTTTAGTGTTTGTTCTTTATTGTAACTTAGACGAAGACCAGACCATATTTTAAGATGACCTTATACATAAATGCATGTAATTCGGAATGGTTCACATATTTTACCTTGTCTTTGCATATAAAAGAACAAAAATGATTAAGGACAAGTGATTCCAAACTTTTGAACAGTGTATAGATGGCAGACTTACATGTTTATCTCACTGAATTAACCATTTTTGTAACTTATTTTCATTTTGAACACGACAGTGATACATTTTCTAGCATCTATAAACTAGAATCATGTTATCCACACCCTAAGTATGCACACACTACACGCTATCACTTACCTCTACATGGGTTAATAATGCTGATGGTTAGGTTTGAGTTTGTTGCAGTAAATCCAGTCCAGCAAGAACAGCTGTATCCTCCTGCTGTGTTGGTGCAGGTGGAGTTTGATCCACACACAGATGGTGCAGACAGACATTCATCCACATCTGTGGGACAATTTAAAATTATTTAAATTATATTTATGTGCATTTTCAGAATTAGGTGTGTCCATTTCCATCCTTAAAGCTTCAAAGGCCTCTGACAGAACTGAACCTAAAGTTTGATGACTTACCCCTACAAGGGTTACTAATGTTAACCCTTAGACTTGAGTTTGTAGCAGTAAATCCATTCCAGCAAAAGCAATTGTATCCTGCTACTGTGTTGATGCAGGTGGAGTTTGGACCACATACAGATGGAGTTAACAGACATTCATCCACGTCTGCGAGATTGATAAACAATTCTTTTTTGTAAAGTTGCTCATTTTCACTGTTAGCAGTCATAAAGCTTTATTAACAACACAAAACCAGCTTACCACTACAAGAGTTATTAACACTGACACTTAGACTTGAGTTGGTTATGTTAAATCCAGACCAGCAAGAGCAGCTGTATCCTCCTACTGTGTTGATACAGGTGGAGTTTGGACCACAAATAGACGGTTCAGACAAACATTCATCCACATCTGTAATGACAGAATTAGCTGTAATTATTGCATCAACATATTTCCCGTATTGGAAAAGTGATTTATCATTAAAACACTCACTGCCAACATAACACAACACCAGCATTTAGACTCTTACCTACACAGGAGTTATTAACACTGACGCTTAGACTTGAGTTTACTGCAGTGAATCCATCCCAGCAAGAGCAACTGTATCCTCCTACTGTGTTGTTGCAGATGGAGTTTAATCCACATACAGATGGTGCAAACAGACATTCATCTATATCTAAAAGATAAATATGACGATTAGAATTTCTAATTCACTACAAACACATTTCTTCATTACCTTTTTTCACCCATGCCTATAAATATAGAGCTGGCTGTAACACATAGTATTAGTAGAGTATAGTCATCTCCAAACCTTAAAGAACTGAAATTAAATATCTTACCAATGCAAGAGTTATTAATGTTGACATTAAGATTGGCATTTATAACAGCAAAGCCATCCCAGCAAGAGCAGCTGTATCCTCCTACTGTGTTGTTACAGGTGGAGTTTGGACCACACAGCGATGGTGTGAACAGACACTCATCCACATCTGTGAAAGAAATAAATTAAACAGATGCGATCAACACTTTTCAAAATATGAGTCATTCTGGAGAATCATTTTAATATAGAAAGTTTTCAGCCAAACTACAATCATCTACAGCCTGTTTATCATTCTGGACACATCTAACATTTCTTCTTTTTCCTTTTGAAAAGAAACAAGACAAAAATTTAAAGGCTCAACCATACATTTCTCAGAAACACTGATCCTTCCACTACAGCCTTTTACTATGAATCCATTCCAGCAAGAAAACTTATGAGAAATTTGTATTGGTACAGATGGAGTTTGCATCACATACAAATGAGGTAAAAACACATCATTTTAACATCATGCTAAACTTTAACATCAAACTAAAAACTAGACTTAGTCCTAAAACTAACCCTAAATCGTTAAACCTTTTCCTAACCATAACACTGTTTACAATCAACTGAATCTTATCAGATAGTTTAGTAACTTTGGTAACTAAATTTTAGCATCTCCAGATAATCCACAGGGGGCTATGATAATAAAGCACAATCAGCTTATTATACTGCTCTGCATATAAATTACCACTTCTTTTCAAACCAATAAAAATACAATCAGTCCTACACTGAGAAGTATAATTTAACAATGTTGTCACTGTCCAAAGAAAACATGTATCTGGCAAATAGTAACTTTACAAGAGGAGGCAAAAACTCTCTTAACTTTGAATGTAAGTTAAAGAGTTTTTCTTTAAGGCATTTTAGAGCATTTCTGTTGGTCCATTTATCAAGTAATTTTCACACAATCTAAAGGAAAGTTTCGTTGTCCAGAAAATGCAAAAAAGTATTTTTTTCTCACTGAACCATGAAACTTGCAACTAAAGTTTAATATCTTACCTATACATGGGTTACTAGCATTGATCTTTTGATTTGAGTTTGATGCAGTAAATCCAGGCCAGCAAAAGCAACTGTATCCTCCTACTGTGTTGTAGCAGTTGGAGTTTGGACCACAAACAGATGGTGCAGATAGACATTCATCCACATCTGAGAAATATTAAACCAAAACTCATTATCTTAACTGTACAGCAGTAACTTCAAGGCTGTTTTCATCACTTACAGCCCCTGAGCCACCGAGTATGTAGTTTTAAAAATGTATTTCAAAGTATTTATGAAATATCAATTCTTGTTCTACTCTTGCAAACAAAAGAATATAATTGAGGCCCTCTGCAAGCAGGATCTCCCATAGGGCCCACAAATATTCAGAAGTGGCCCTGGCTGATGTTCAAACCTGAGTTTACTGAAGTAAATCCAGTCTAGCAAGAGCAACTGTATCCTCCTATTGTGTCAAAGCAGGTGGAGTTTAATCCACATACAAGTAAAATAGTTACACATTTATCTAGATCATAACATCTTCATATTGGCAAGTCGCTTCATTCCCAGACCATGTAAAGTTTAAGGAAAATCAGATAAACAAAAGTTATTATTGATTTATATAAGTTATGGTCAAAATTCTTTAATAAAACCTGAAATAGTTTGAGCATAATGTTCAGTTAATAGCTCACCTATACAAGGGTTACTAGTGTTGATCTTTTGATTTGAGTTAGTGGCAGTAAATCCAGGCCAGCAAGAGCAGCTGTATCCTCCTGCTGTGTTGGTGCAGGTGGAGTTTGGACCACAAACAGATGGTGCAGACAGACATTCGTCCACATCTGTGGGACAGTTTTCAGTCATTTTAGTGTAAGTTTTACATGCACACATTAACACATATAGGAATTTGTCTCTATCATTAGAAATGTCTAAAAAATTAAACTGATAATTCAGTGGAGGTGGAGTTTGGAGCACCCAGAGAGATCTCTGAGATGGAATACTACATTTCGGCTGCTGCTTCTAGTTTGTTATAGTTCTTGGCTCATTTTCAGAATCCACCTAAAATATATTTTAAGCTAACTTTGGATCGATCACACACTGTATGTTTCTACACATTAATACATGTCTCGGTTAATTGAGGGGACAAGAAATACTGGAGTTTCTATATTTGATATCAGAATATTAAAGTGATAGTTAATAACTTTAAATAACTTTAAAGGTTTAGACCACATGGTGATGGTGTGAGCAGACACTCATCCACATCTGTGAAAGCAATAAAGTAAACAGATGTGATCACCAATTTTCAAAATGTGATAATTAATTTTAATATGTAAGGTTTTCAGTTTCAGGTATACATTTTCAAAATTAGAAGCTCAACCATACATTTCGCACAACCACTGATACTTCCACTACAGCCCGTTAAAATTACCCAGTAATTTTCAGACAATATTAAGGGCAGAAACTGTGTTAAAAAATAAAAATCAACATTTTTTTTATATTCTATATTCTGTATTTAATATCAGAATATTAAAGTGATATTTAACAACTTACCTATACAAGTGTTAGTAATATTGACAGTAAGATTTGAGTGTGTTGCAGTGAATCCATCCCAGCAAGAGCAGCTGTATCCTCCTACTGTGTTGTTGCAGGTGGAGTTTGGACCACATGGTGATGGTGTGAACAGACACTCATCCACATCTGTGAAAGAAATAAAATAGACAGATTTGATTACCACTTTTCAAAATATGAGTGATTCTGGAGATCCATTTTAATATCTAAAATGTTCAGTTTCAGGTCTTTCCAGTGAAATTACAATCATCTACAGCTTGTTTATCACTGTGACACATCTAACACTTCTTCTTTTTTATATTGAAAAAGCACAAAACTAAAAATAAAAGCTCAGCCATACATTTCTCACAACCACTGATACTTCCACTACAGCCTGTTAAAATGATCAAGTAATTTTCACACGACATTAAAGGCAGACAGTGCGTTAAAAAATGCAGAAAAATAAAAATCAACAAAAATGTATTTATTTATTTTACTGTGTCTCAATACACTCACAGACAGCCAACTGAACAGAAAACACTGAAAAATAATCAAGAAAGCATTTTTCTCACTAAACCTGAAATGAGTTGAACAGAAGATGAAACTAAAGTTGAATATCTTACCTAAACATGGGTTACTAGCATTGATCTTTAGATTCGAGTTTGTTGGAGTAAATCCAGCCCAGCAAAAGCAGCTGTATCCTCCTACTGTGTTGTTGCAGTTGGAGTTTAATCCACATACAGCTGGTGCAGATTTACATTCGTCCACATCTGTGAGATCATTTTTATCATTAAAATTTAAAATACCTTTAGAAAAATATTAAACCAAAACTCAGTATCTTAACCGTACATCGGTAACTACAGGGCTGTTTTCATCACTTACAGCCCCTGAGCCACAGAGTATGTATTTTAAAAAATGTATTTCACACTATCTGTGAACAAGAGAAGTGAGTTCAGACACTTTATGACATTGTTTCTTTATGAAATATTAATTCTTCTTCTACTACAGTTGAGGCTCTCCGCAAGTAGGATCTTCTATAGGGCCCACAAATATTCAGAAGCGGCCCTGACTGATGCTCAAACTTGGGTTTGCTGAAGTAAATCCAGTCTAGCAAGAGGAACTGTATCCTCCTATTGTGTCAAAGCAGGTGGAGTTTATCCCACATACAAGTAAAGTAGTTACACATTTATCTATGTCATAACATATTCATATTGACGAGCAACTTCATTCTCAGACCATGTAAAGTTTAAGTAAAATCAGATAAATAAAAGTTATTACTGTTTTCTATCAGTTATGGTCAAAATTGTTTAATAAAACCTAAAACAGCTGGAGTATAACATTCAATTCATAGCTCACCTATACAAGGGTTACTAGCATTGATGTTCAGACTTGAGTTTGTGGCAGTAAATCCAGTCCAGCAAGAGCAACTGTATCCTCCTACTGTGTTGGTGCAGGTGGAGTTTGGACCACAAACAGATGGTGCAGACAAACATTCGTCCACATCTGTGGGATAGTTTTCAGTCATTTTAGTGTAAGTTTTACATGCACACATTAACACATATAGGAATTTGTCTCTATCATTAGAAATGTCTAAAAATTAAACTGATAATTCAGTGGAGGTGGAGTTTGGAGCACCCAGAGAGATCTCTGAGATGGAATACTACATTTCAGCTGCTGCTTCTAGTTTGTTATAGTCCTTGGCTCATTTTCAAAATCCACCTAAAATATATTTTAAGCTAACTTTGGATCGATCACACACTGTATGTTTCTACACATTAATACATGTCTCGGTTAATTGAGGGGACAAGAAATACTGGAGTTTCTATATTTGATATCAGAATATTTAAGTGATATTTAATAACTTTAAATAACTTTAAAGGTTTAGACCACATGATGATGGTGTGAGCAGACACTCATCCACATCTGTGAAAGCAATAAAGTAAACAGATGTGATCACCAATTTTCAAAATATGATAATTAATTTTAATATGTAAAGTTTTCAGTTTCAGGTATACATTTTCAGTCAGATTACAATCATCTACAGCTTATTTATCTTTCTGACATGTCTAACGTTTCCTCTTCTTTATACTGAAATCTAAAATTAGAAGCTCAACCATACATTTCGCACAACCACTGATACTTCCACTACAGCCCGTTAAAATTATCAAGTAATTTTCACACAATATTAAGGGCAGAAACTGTGTTAAAAATGCAGAAAAATAAAAATCAACATTTTTTTTATATTCTATATTCTGTATTTAATATCAGAATATTAAAGTGATATTTAATAACTTACCTATACAAGTGTTAGTAATATTGACAGTAAGATTTGAGTGTGTTGCAATAAATCCAGGCCAGCAAGAGCAGCTGTATCCTCCTACTGTGTTGTTGCAGGTGGAGTTCGGACCACAAACAGACGGAGTAGACAGACATTCATCCACATCTGTGGGATCATTTAAAATGATTTAATTTATATTTATGTACATTTTCAGGATTAGGTGTGTCCATCATCATCATTAAAGCTTGAAAGGCCTCTGACATTATTGAACCTAAAGTTTGATGACTTACCCCTACAAGGGTTACTAATGTTAACCCTTAGACTTGAGTTTGTAGCAGTAAATCCACTCCAGCAAGAGCAGCTGTATCCTCCTACTGTGTTGTTGCAGGTGGAGTTTGGACCACAAACAGATGGAGTGGACAGACATTCATCCACATCTGTGAAATTAATAAAATGTTGTGTCTGTTTTTGTCTGTCAGCAGGTAATTTGTATTAGAAGAGTGAATAATCATCATTAAAACTTAAAAATATCTTAAGTAAAACACAACCTTTCAGTATATCACTGCTATAGGAACAAGACCTTCAAACCACAACAGGGTAACTATACAGAAGAAGTACTGAAAGGTCTTAAAGTACAGTTGTATAAAAAGTTTGGGCGTTAATGTTGGGGTTCCTGATCATTTTTGTTATTAACTTTTAGCATTAAAACATATTGAGGCGGTTTCAATCTTTAAAACGTTTTTCTTTTAAAAAAATTAATAACTTACCTCTACAAAGGTTACTAACGCTGACATTTAGATTTGAGCTTGTAGCAGTAAATCCATCCCAGCAAGAGCAGCTGTATCCTCCTACTGTGTTGTTGCAGGTGGAGTTTGGACCACATGGTGATGGTGTGAACAGACACTCATCCACATCTGTGAAAGAAATAAAATAGACAGATTTGATTACCACTTTTCAAAATATGAGTCATTCTGGAGATTCATTTTAATATCTAAATTGTTCAGTTTCAGGTATTTTCAGTGAAATTACAATCATCTACAGCTTGTTTATCATTCTGACACATCAAACGTTTGTCCTTTTCTATATTGAAAAAGCACAAAACTAAAATTAAAAGCTCAGCCATACATTTCTCACAACCACTGATACTTCCACTACAGCCTGTTAAAATTATTATGTAATTTTCACACAATATTAAGGGCAGACAGTGTGTTAAAAAATGCAGAAAAATAAAAATCAACAAAAATTATTTATTTATTTATTTATTTTACTGTGGGTGTCTCAATACACTCACAGACAGCCAACTGAACAGAAAACACTGAAAAATAATCAAGAAAGCATTTTTCTCACTAAACCTGAAATGAGTTGAACAGAAGATGAAACTAAAGTTGAATATCTTACCTAAACATGGGTTACTAGCATTGATCTTTAGATTCGAGTTTGTTGGAGTAAATCCAGCCCAGCAAAAGCAGCTGTATCCTCCTACTGTGTTGTTGCAGTTGGAGTTTAATCCACATACAGCTGGTGCAGATTTACATTCGTCCACATCTGTGAGATCATTTTTATCATTAAAATTTAAAATACCTTTAGAAAAATATTAAACCAAAACTCAGTATCTTAACCGTACATCGGTAACTACAGGGCTGTTTTCATCACTTACAGCCCCTGAGCCACAGAGTATGTATTTTAAAAAATGTATTTCACACTATCTGTGAACAAGAGCAGTGAGTTCAGACACTTTATGACATTGTTTCTTTATGAAATATTAATTCTTCTTCTACTACAGTTGAGGCTCTCCGCAAGTAGGATCTTCTATAGGGCCCACAAATATTCAGAAGCGGCCCTGACTGATGCTCAAACTTGGGTTTGCTGAAGTAAATCCAGTCTAGCAAGAGCAGCTGTATCCTCCTATTGTGTCAATGCAGGTGGAGTTTATTCCACATACAAGTAGTTACACATTTATCTATGTCATAACATATTCATATTGACGAGCAACTTCATTCTCAGACCATGTAAAGTTTAAGTAAAATCAGATAAACAAAAGTTATTACTGATTTCTATCAGTTATGGTCAAAATTGTTTAATAAAACCTAAAACAGCTGGGGTATAACATTCAATTCATAGCTCACCTATACAAGGGTTACTAGCATTAATGTTCAGACTTGAGTTTGTGGCAGTAAATCCAGGCCAGCAAGAGCAGCTGTATCCTCCTGCTGTGTTGGTGCAGGTGGAGTTTGGACCACAAACAGATGGTGCAGACAGACATTCGTCCACATCTGTGGGACAGTTTTCAGTCATTTTAGTGTAAGTTTTACATGCACACATTAACACATATAGGAATTTGTCTCTATCATTAGAAATGTCTAAAAATTAAACTGATAATTCAGTGGAGGTGGAGTTTGGAGCACCCAGAGAGATCTCTGAGATGGAATACTACATTTCGGCTGCTGCTTCTAGTTTGTTATAGTTCTTGGCTCATTTTCAGAATCCACCTAAAATATATTTTAAGCTAACTTTGGATCGATCACACACTGTATGTTTCTACACATTAATACATGTCTCGATTAATTGAGGGGACAAGAAATACTGGAGTTTCTATATTTGATATCAGAATATTAAAGTGATATTTAATAACTTTAAATAACTTTAAAGGTTTAGACCACATGGTGATGGTGTGAGCAGACACTCATCCACATCTGTGAAAGCAATAAAGTAAACAGATGTGATCACCAATTTTCAAAATATGATAATTAATTTTAATATGTAAGGTTTTCAGTTTCAGGTATACATTTTCAAAATTAGAAGCTCAACCATACATTTCGCACAACCACTGATACTTCCACTACAGCCCGTTAAAATTACCCAGTAATTTTCAGACAATATTAAGGGCAGAAACTGTGTTGAAAAATAAAAATCAACATTTTTTTATATTCTATATTCTGTATTTAATATCAGAATATTAAAGTGATATTTAATAACTTACCTATACAAGTGTTAGTAATATTGACAGTAAGATTTGAGTGTGTTGCAGTAAATCCAGGCCAACAAGAGCAGCTGTATCCTCCTACTGTGTTGTTGCAGGTGGAGTTTGGACCACATGGTGATGGTGTGAACAGACACTCATCCACATCTGTGAAAGAAATAAAATAGACAGATTTGATTACCACTTTTCAAAATATGAGTCATTCTGGAGATTCATTTTAATATCTAAATTGTTCAGTTTCAGGTCTTTCCAGTGAAATTACATTCATCTACAGCTTGTTTATCACTCTGACACATCAAACGTTTCTCCTTTTTTATATTGAAAAAGCACAAAACTAAAATTAAAAGCTCAACCATACATTTCTCACAACCACTGATACTTCCACTACAGCCTGTTAAAATGATCAAGTAATTTTCACACAATATTAAGGGCAGACAGTGTGTTAAAAATGCAGAAAAATAAAAAATCAACAAAAATGTATTTATTTATTTATTTATTTATTTTACTGTGGGTGTCTCAATACACTCACAGACAGCCAACTGAACAGAAAACACTGAAAAATAATCAAGAAAGCATTTTTCTCACTAAACCTGAAATGAGTTGAACAGAAGATGAAACTAAAGCTGAATATCTTACCTAAACACGGGTTACTAGCATTGATCTTTAGATTCGAGTTTGTTGGAGTAAATCCAGGCCAGCAAAAGCAGCTGTATCCTCCTACTGTGTTGTTGCAGTTGGAGTTTAATCCACATACAGCTGGTGCAGATTTACATTCGTCCACATCTGTGAGATCATTTTTATCATTAAAATTTAAAATACCTTTAGAAAAATATTAAACCAAAACTCAGTATCTTAACCGTACATCGGTAACTACAGGGCTGTTTTCATCACTTACAGCCCCTGAGCCACTGAGTCAGATAAATAAAAGTTATTATTGATTTCTATCAGTTATGGTCAAAATTGTTTAATAAAACCTAAAACAGCTGGAGTATAACAGTCAATTCATAGCTCACCTATACAAGGGTTACTAGCATTGATGTTCAGACTTGAGTTTATAGCAGTAAATCCATTCCAGCAAGAGCAGCTGTATCCTCCTACTGTGTTGATGCAGGTGGAGTTTGGACCACATGGTGATGGTGTGAACAGACACTCATCCACATCTGTGAAAGAAATAAAATAGACAGATTTGATTACCACTTTTCAAAATATGAGTCATTCTGGAGATTCATTTTACAGATGGTGCAAACAGACATTCGTCCACATCTGTGGGATCATTTTAATTCATTTAATATATGTTTAAGCTCATTTTACAAGCACATATTTTCAGGATTTGGTGTGTCCATTATCATCATTAAAGCTTCAAAGGCCTGAAATTATTGAACCTAAAGTTTGATGACTTACCCCTACAAGGGTTACTAATGTTAACCCTTAGACTTGAGCTGGTTGCAGTAAATCCCACCCAGCAAGAACAGCTGTATCCTCCTACTGTGTTAATGCAGGTGGAGTTTGGACCACATACAGATGTGCCAAGTAGACATTCATCCACATCTGTAATGAAAGATTTTCTCTCCTTGTAATTTGAGCATCATTATATTTCTAACATTTACTGAAAGTGGAAACGTCTGTGCAAGTTTCTATGTAAGTACTGACCTCTACAAGTGTTATTAACACTAATCATCAGACTTGAGTTTGTTTCAGTAAATCCCTTCAAGCAAGAGCAGCTGTGTCCTCCTACTGTGTTGGTGCAGGTGGAGTTTGGACCACAAATAGATGGTTCAGGTGCACATTCATCTATATCTGTGAGAGAAATTAAAGAGTTCATCTTGTGCTCTTTCATCAGCAATATTTTATTTTAAAAATGTTACATTTACAATAAAAAAATTATATATCAAAATATGAAACCACAGGTTAATAACAGAATGTACCATATTGATATTTATTGATATTGATATTATATTGATATTTAATCACTTACCTCTACATGGGTTAATAATGCTGATAGTTAAACTTGAGTTGGTTGCAGTAAATCCAGTCCAGCAAGAACAGCTGTATCCTCCTGCTGTGTTGGTGCAGGTGGAGTTTGATCCACAAACAGGTGCAGATAGACATTCGTCCACATCTGTGGGATCATTTTAATTCATTTAATATATGTTTAAGTACATCTTATAAGCACACATTTTCAGGATTAGGTGTGTCCATTATCATCATTAAAGCTTCAAAGGCCTCTGACATTACTGAACCTAAAGTTTGATGACTTACCCCTACAAGGGTTACTAATGTTAACCCTTAGACTTGAGTTTGTAGCAGTAAATCCACTCCAGCAAAAGCAATTGTATCCTCCTACTGTGTTGATGCAGGTGGAGTTTGGACCACATACAGACGGAGTTGACAGACAGTCATCCACGTCTGGAAGATTGATAAACAATTCTTTTTTGTAAAGTTGCTCATTTTCACTATTAGCAGTCTTAAAGCTTTATTAACAACACAAAACCAGCTTACCACTACAAGAGTTATTAACACTGACGCTTAGACTCGAGTTGGTTATGTTAAATCCAGACCAGCAAGAGCAGCTGTATCCTCCTACTGTGTTGATACAGGTGGAGTTTGGACCACAAATAGATGGTGCAGACAGACATTCATCCACATCTGTAATGACACATTCAACTGTAATTCCTGCATCAACATATTTTCATTTTTGGAAAAGTGATTTATCATTAAAACACTCACCGTCAACAAAACACAACACCAACATTTAGACTCTTACCTACACAGGAGTTATTAACACTGACGCTTAGACTTGAGTTTACTGCAGTGAATCCATCCCAGCAAGAGCAACTGTATCCTCCTACTGTGTTGTTGCAGATGGAGTTTGATCCACATACAGATGGTGCAAACAGACATTCATCTATATCTAAAAGATAAATATGATGGTTAGAATTTAAAATGTAATGTGTTGTTATCTCAGCATTAACATAAAGGTGAAAAAGTACAGTTTCAGACCATGTAAACAAAAGGAAAATATTTGCTAATTCACCACAAAGACATTTTTCATAATCTTTTTTTAGAGCTGACTCAAAAAGTCTGTTTTTATATAGCCGTCTGTTTTATCACTGAAACTTAAAGTACCCCTAAATTCATACAGTAAAACATAAAAAAGTCTATGTTGAATAAAAAAATGTTGGGTTTTATGTCGTATTGTTGTGTCCACAAAACTACTGTAAATGGCATAGGAGCATCCCTGATCATTAGCACTCATTAAGAATGTAATCGGTTAGGAAATACTGGATTTAATCATAAGATCTCATCATATCTCAATACACGTTTTTGTTTAGAAGTGGATCTTGATCTTTGAGAGAAGAGTGCTCACAGGACAAAACGTATCAGGTTCTGAACATTTTTATTTAACACAGAGGGCGACAGAAAAAAACACTATTCATTCTGCCCATAGAGAAATAGAGCTTTGACCCGGAGTTCCTAATATGGACATAAGAGCATGGCGCCGACTACAAAATGACGACACGGCTACAGTGGTCTATTGTGAACTCTGGGCTGTGGTAACACAATTGAGACACGTCTATATAATCATAATATGCCATCCAAGACGTCTTAACCATTTAAACTAGCAAAGTTCTGTGGGTGGAGCAGCCAGAGAAGTCGATGACATTTCTTGTGCCTATAATCACATGCAAGTTTGGGTGCACCTGCTCAAATTACATGCTTTGTTGATTTTCTAAGTGAACATAAGTTTTACATTCTCCACAAAAAACACACTTCTGCATATATTGATGCATAATTATTGTTTATTTACTAATAATCATTGTTTAATTTAACATATCGGGGGAAAAAAATGTGGCCAGCACAAAATGTATGGCACGTTTTATGTTGTAATTTTTCCAATATGTTAAAGTCAGCAAATAGAGGATTTGTTGACTTATTTTCACTTAGAAAATTAACAAAACATGTAATTTCACAAAGGGTGTTCAGACTTTTTCATATGACTGTACATTAAAATTCTTGAACTGGCACATTTTCAGAATCAATTTAAGAGTATTTCAAACTAACAGACCACACACTGTTAATCTTTCCTCACATCAATTAATGTCATAATTAATAGATGGTATAAAAACATCAACTGATATTTAATATCTTACCAATGCAAAGGTTACTAACGCTGACATTTAGATTTGCGTTTATAGCTGTGAATCCATCCCGGCAAGAGCAGCTGTATCCTCCTACTGTGTTGGTGCAGGTGGAGTTTGGACTACATGGTGATGGTGTGAACAGACACTCATCCACATCTGTGAAAGAAATAAAGTCAATTAAACAGATGTGATTACCACTTTTCAAAATATGAGTCATTCTGGAGATTCATTTTATTATATAAATAGCATTATTATATAAATTAAAAAGTATTACGTAATTAAACATATTATATGAATAAACGTTCAGCTTCTAGTACAGGAATCATCTACAGCTTGTTTATCATTCTGAGCACATTTAACATTTCTTTTTTTATCTAGAAAAAGTACATTACATAATTGAACAATTATTTAATTAATAAAAAATATTGTCACAAATCATTTTTATATTGACTTTTAATTTGAAGATTATATATTGCCACATTATATCCATATTTATCATTATGGATGTATGTATGTATATATGTATGCATGTATTCATTCAATTATTTTATTTTGTCCAAAAAAGTATAATAAAGTATAAAAAAGTATGAAAAAAGCCATCATTTCTAACTAAATGTCCTAATTTCTAAACGCATACCAATTAACTGAACTTTTATATTTAATAACTAACCTATACAAGGGTTATTAATGCCAACTGCTAGACTTGAGTTTGTTGCAGTGAATCCAGTCCAGCAAGAGCAATTGTATCCTCCTACTGTGTTGGTACAGGTGGCGTTTAATCCACATACAGATGGAGTGGACAGACATTCATCTATATCTGTGAGATAAAAGATTTGTCTCCTTAATTTTTTTCTTCAGCATATTTTTCATAGTAACACAGTAGCTTTATAGTGACATTTTAAACACCTCCAACCAAAATGTTACAGCAAACTTTAATATCTTACCTGTACAATGGTTAACAGCACTGATGCTTAGACTTGAGTTTGTCGCAGTGAATCCATCCCAGCAAGAGCAGCTGTATCCTCCTACTGTGTTGATACAGGTGGAGTTTGGACCACAAACAGATGGTGCAGACAAACATTCATCCACATCTGTAATGACACATTCAACTGTAATTCCTGCATCAACATATTTTCATTTTTGGAAAAGTGATTTATCATTAAAACACTCACCGTCAACAAAACACAACACCAGCATTCAGACTCTTACCTACACAGGAGTTATTAACACTGACGCTTAGACTTGAGTTTACTGCAGTGAATCCATCCCAGCAAGAGCAACTGTATCCTCCTACTGTGTTGTTGCAGATGGAGTTTAATCCACATACAGATGATGCAAACAGACATTCATCTATATCTAAAAGATAAATATGATGGTTAGAATTTCTAATGTAATTTGTTGTTATCTCAGCTTTAACATAAAGGTGCAAAAGTATATTTTCAGACCATGTAAACAAAAGGAAAATTACTCACTATAGACTACATTTGCAGTGTGAGATTGAGCTAATTCACTACAAAGACATTTTTTTCATGACCTTTTTTTGCCAATAAATTTAGGGCTGACTCTAAAAGTCTGTTTTTATATAGCTGTCTGTTTCATCACTGAAATTTAAAGTACTCCTAAATTCATACAATAAAACACAAAAAGTCTATGTTGAATAAAAAACTGTTGGGTTTCCAAGAGACCCCTGTAAATGGCATAGGAGCGTCCCTGAACATCAGCACTCATTAATAATGCAATCAGTTAAGTAATAGTGGATTAATCAGGAGAACTCAACATCTCTCAATACGTGTGTATTTGTTTACACAAGTGGATCTTGACCGCTCCAACATGGTAGATGTGCAGACGTTTGGCCAACAGACAACATGACATCTATGTATTTATATGTGGGATTCGATCCTGGTGGCCTTAATGTGGGACGTGATGACTGAGGAAATCAGAGGACAAGCAACAAGTTCTCTCTCTCTTCCTCAGCTCAGGTGTTTGAACCGTTCAGTGGGCTCAGCCCGGTAGCCTGTTAGCAGTTAGCCATTCATTTGCATAGTTTTCTTGGGTATTTCCTGATTCTGATTTAGCGGTACAACAGATGGAAACAGAAACCATAACAGAGTCCAGACCAGCGCGGAACGGCCAAATATGGCCCTGAGACCCTATGGGCTCGACAGTGGAAAAGCCATTGTGAACTCTGGGCTGTGGCAACACATTTGAGACAGAATGTCTATATAATCATAATGTGCCATCCAAGAGGTGTTAACCATTTAACTGAAACAAAGTTCTGCAAGTGGAGTTTGGAGCAGCCAGAGAAGTAGATGGCATTTCTTCAGTCTCTACTACAGTTGTATGCGAAAGTTTGGGTGCACCTGTTCAAATTATGTTTTGTTGATTTTGTAAGAGAAAATAAGTTTTACATTCTCTATAGAGAACGCACCTCTGTACAGTTTAATGCATGAGTATTGTTTATTTACTATTAATTATACTATTAAAATGGGGCCTGTGCAAAATGTATGGCACATTATATTTTATGTTTTAATTAACGTTTAACGTTTTTTAATACGTTCAAGTAAAGGTTGTGTTGACTTATCTTCACTGAGAAAATTAACAACACGTAATTTCACCAAGGGTGTTCAAACTTTTGCATATGATGAATTCTTGAATTGGCACATTTACAGAATCCATTGAACAGAATTTCAAGCTCACAGATCACACATTGTCTTGATTAATAGATGGTATAAGAAAGCATCCTATTTTTATAATTAATAGCAAAACATTAACCTTACATTAAATATCTTACCAGTGCAAAGGTTACTAACGCTGACGTTTAGATTTGTGTTTATAGCAGTAAATCCATCCCAGCAAGAGCAGCTGTATCCTCCTACTGTGTTGATGCAGGTGGAGTTTGGACCACATGGTGATGGTGTGAACAGACACTCATCCACATCTGTGAAATTAATAAATTAAACAGATGTGATCAACGCTTTTCAACATCATTATCATTCATTCTGGAGATTATTGTTATTATATAAATAATATAATTATATACATCATCATCATCATCATCGTTAACCGCTTAGTCCAGCTGGGGTCACGGTATAATTATATACATTAAAAATGATTTCATAATTAATTATATTATATAAATACCACCCATTTCCAGTCTGCTGGTTGACATTAAAACATTTTCAAATCATTTACCTGCACATGTATTATTTATGCTGACACTCTGATTTGAGTTTGTTGCAGTAAATCCAACCCAGCAAGAGCAGCTGTATCCTCCTGCTGTGTTGGTGCAGGTGGCGTTTAACCCACATACAGATGGAGTTAACAAACATTCATCCACATCTGTGAAATGACACACATATTTTCACAGGATTTGATTTGTCCATTTTTATCCTTAAAGCTTAGAAAGCCTCTTTTTCTTCAGCACATTTTTCATAGTAACACAGTAGCTTTATAGTGACATTTTAAACAGCTTTAACCAAAATGTTACAGCAAACTTTATCTTACCTGTACAATGGTTAACAGCACTGATGCTTAGACTTGAGTTTGTCGCAGTGAATCCATCCCAGCATGAACAGCTGTATCCTCCTACTGTGTTCGTGCAGGTGGCGTTTAATCCACATACAGATGGTGCAGACAGACATTCATCTACATCTGTGAAATGACACACATATTGTCACAGGATTTGATTTGTCCATTTTTATCCTTAAAGCTTAGAAAGCCTCACAGATTCATTCATTTCACAACTTACCACTACAAGGGTTTATAACGCTAATCGTTAGACTTGAATTTGTAGCAGTAAATCCAGGCCAGCAAGAGCAGCTGTATCCTCCTACTGTGTTCACGCAGGTAGAGTTTGGACCACATACAGATGTTTCAGACAAACATTCATTCACATCTGTGTGATAAAAAAGGTAATTTTGTGCATTAAGACCCTTTCAGTATTATTACAGTACAGATACAGTGCAATATTCATTCTTGCAAGCCATTTCTGTTTTTTAGCTCTTGGCATAGAATACAAACATAAATGCCATCATTCAGAATATCCTAAAATATATGGTTTTATGAATAAAAGTGCCATATAATTAATGAATTATATTAGCACCGTACTTTGGGTCCAGTGCCCTACTTGCTTTGACCTACTTGCTTTGCATAGCATATCTCTTCTGTACCATACCGGAACAAATGTCTGTTTTTGGGTAATATGTGCCATGTTTGCACCCTCAAGTGATTCTTTTTAAGCCCATTGTTCTTGGCAGATTTCCAGCAGGTTCTTCAGGTTGGTTGGTTGAAGTTTGTGGACTACAATGTTTACATACCGTAAGTGGTTATTACAATAGTGACTACTATATGAGAATCAGACAGTTGAAGTGTCTGCATGTGATATAATTAGCCCTTGTGTGGTGTTCAGGTCTGTGGGACGCATTTTCAATGTTTACCAAAAGAAAAAATGATGTGATTTATTATTATTTGAACCTCAGATTTCTTGGCCTTTGCTCATTTTCTGTGAAGAACATATAAAATAACCCATTTTCAGTGTCTTCACTCTGTTCACCCCCCACACATTTATATTACACATGTGGTGTTGGGTGAACCTGCGGGGAGAAAAAGTGTGGAGGTGCTGTGTCCTTCACTCTGTTCTCCTCCTACATGGCCTGCTGTTAGTGTGTGTGTGTGTGTGTATGTGTTTGTATGTGTGTATATGTGTGTGTGTGTGTGTGCGTGTTTATGAGGGTTGACAACATGGACAGGCTGCTGACTGGCTACAGCTGCTAAAGGAGAACCCCACGCTGGACACTTGTGATATTTTAAACATCTGGTATTTTTACATAAATTGTTCTGGCTGTATTGATTTAAAAACAGTGGTGGGTCCACCAGACCATTGAGTAACAAACACATCAACATCACACAAGTGTTAATCAAATTAATAGAAGGTCTAAGAAAAAGAATGAAACACCAGCCTCAAATTCATTTCCATCAAAGAGAGGAGAATTTAGGCAGAATAAATGCTTCATCCTCAAGAGCTCATATAAGTCAACACCAACAAACAGGACAAACTGAATGTGCGCAAGGATATAAATAACATAATGGCTGTATGTTATATCAGGAGGGGGTTAACTTGATTGGATATTGGATTGATAATGAATTCATTGTAATCCACTTTTTACTATTCAGCCACTCTACCCCAGGTTACCACCTGCAACATGGACCTCACATTACATGGACCTAACGTCCTCACATTCCAAACTCAACCCTTCCTTTGTTGCCCAAAGTAAAGTGTGTAATTAATGCATGTAATTACTGAAGCACACTTTGTGCTGCCATGAACATACCAATATGCTATAGTGCTGCACTTTAACTTAATAGCCTAATAGTGTAATTGTGTAATTGTACGATGACAGACTTGCAGAAGGAGTGTCTAAAATAATAATTTAGGCAACATTTGTTATGAAATTTCACAAAGCTGTCATCCTCAAGACAGACAAAATAAGATTTTTAATTTCTCACCTCTCTGGCACAGCTCCTCTGCAGGGAGAGCTCTGATACAGCCACATGTGCCATCCATGCTGTCATCACACGCCCCATATGTTCTGCAGGTATTATAGGACCAAGCATACTGCTCCTCACATCTGCACACATACTCGGTCCCGTTTAATGAGCACACTGTAACACAGAGTAGACTAAATAAATAAACCAGCTAATGAACAAAAATAAACGATAAACACAAAAATATATTTTTTTTACTTTATTCTACCATAAAAATTAGATTATGTCATGCAAAACCATTTAAGGTACTAAGTGTGTACATAAACAGGCTGGTTACCAGTGGTGATGTCCATCTCTGTGATGTTCACACTGCTGTCCAGTGTAACAGGGACACTGAAGTTCATGAGCAGCTTCTTTAAGTCAAGAACCATCAGGTTGTCAGATATGCTAATGTCAAGATCAGTGATGTACTCAGAAGGTGGCCTTTCTGCAAAGAACATGGGGGGTTTTAGTTGAATTTAGTGCACTAAAATCTGCTCAAATATTTACACTACATACTGTTTTTATTATTGAGAGCTGAAATGTCTTAAGAAACGTATTTAATCGAGATTTAACATCTTATCTATATGCATTTCTAAAGTTAAGAGGAAAACTAGACCATTTTAATGTCTGCTGGCTGACATTAAACATTTTTTAATAATTTACCTGTACATGGATTATTTATGCTGACAGTCTGATTCGAGTTGGTTGCAGTAAATCCAGTCCTGCAAGAGCAACTGTATCCTCCTATTGTGTTGATGCAGATGGCGTTTGCACCACATAGTGATGGTGAAGACAGACATTCATCCACATCTGAGAGATAAAAGGTCATTTTTTTGTATGAAGGCCTTTTCTGTATAACTACAGTAAATTTATTATACATAAATGTTAACAAGATTATAATCAAATTATAAAAACAACACTGAATAAGTCGACTATGTAAGGCTTGCTAACTCAGATTGAGTTTGTAATAGTTCCAGAAAAAGCCATTTATTGGCTCTTTTTACTTTAATGCATGTGGTGCTCATACAGCCATCATATTATTATGGCTCAGTTATACATTCAACTGTACCTACTTAATAAACAGAAGAGCTCAGTGTTTGCATCAGAGCATTTTCAACATCTTGGTGTGACGGTTTCTCCGTTCATGCTCTGTCCTTGAACGGAGATATATATACATATATATATATATATATATATAGCTGCTGTTGGAACACAACCTTGTATCTACAAAATGAGAACTTTACAGGAGAAGGAAAAAACCTACTCTACTTTTAATGTGAGTCAATGGAACCAGGCGTTTTTCCAAGCAATTTTGGGTCGTTTCTTTTGGTCCATTCATCATGAAATAGCAAACAACGTAAAGGGCAACAGGCATTTTTAGATTATATCCAAAACTGAAAAACAACAAAAATGGAGATGCGAGGTTTTGTTCCAACAACAGCGATATATGTGCTCTTGTGCCTGTGCCTTATTTTTGTGCTTGTGTTATAATCACGACTTCAGGGTTCTATATTTGCTAAAGACATTATTCAGTCTAGACCCATCATGAACATTTAATATGTTGTCCTAAAAATAAGCATCTTCTCATAAAGTCTTAGGTTCTCATGAATATTGCCATGTGCCACCTCATCTACATTGACCTCATGTTACAAGCCCAACTCTTCCTCCTTTGTGCAAAGTGTGAGGTGTGTAATTACCAAAGTTTGTGTGCCATGAACACACCAATATGCTATAGTGCTCCGCTTAAGACATCATCACAGTCTTTTTTAATAAAGTCTTTTTTAATAAAGTCTGATTTAATAAAGCTAATAGTAAATACTGACTGTGTGCTGTTTAACGCCTGTTAAAAGCTCATCTTTTTTTTGGTGCTAACATGGCTGCCAGTGCAGTTACTGAGCTTGAAGAAAGAGAGCTTGTCACACGTATTTATTTGTTGTCAACTTTGATGGGAAAAAAAATAAAACATTTCGTGACACGGCCATGTAACACTATTCTTAATGTCATAAAGGCAATAAAAACCTAACCAACTGGTTTTAGTGAAACGGTGTTTAAACTGGTATTTCCTAAAACTGTGAGTATATTTTACACTCACCGAGTGTCATAAATGCAGTTTTTGTCTAAATAATAATTAGACAGTTTTCTTTCCTAAACTGTTGTGAAACAGTTATGGTTATGGTTTGATGTGCAGACTTAACAGGAAACACTCATCATGAGTTCAGATCATAAAGTTCTCAGCTGAGCAGTAAACGCTCAGCTTAGCCAAACAAACAAACCATCTTTCTCTAATTTCTACATAATTCAATCTTTAAGATGTAACTAAAGTCGGAGTGATTTATACACTGCAAATATAGCCATTTTATTTATCACTAAAGTATTATAAAATTTTAAATTGAGAAGTTTTCATTGGGGACTACTTTGCCTCACAACACTTCGCATGTTTCTCTCCATCAAGAATAGATTTAATAATGAACAATATTTCAGGTATCAGGCAGCATATCAGAACAATTTCATGAAATAACTTTCTGTGAGGGAGTTTTTAGAGATGTCTGGTTTCTCTCACCACCACTGGGAACAATTATGAGTCGAAACTTTTCTCCAGAGTGAAGCATCTCACCACAAACCACTCTAAATGACTTTGTTTACATCTTAAACATTGACTCATTGTGACAGAACGAACAAACTAGTTTCCCTAGTTAAATCTATTTCCTTTCATGTTTGGGACACCTTTCACTAAATAAACACCCTTGCACTGAATGTGCTGTTGTGGTTTGCCGTCGTTTTGTCTTACAACTCACAACCTTGTCAGAGCACAT